ACTTCAAGCACTTGGCGAGCTGTGCGTCGCATTGTTAGATGAATGGCGTAAGCAGCAGGTTGGCATGTCATGGCACTTACAGGGAAGAAAATGTCGACAATATCCATGATAACCAGGATGAAGTTTCCAACACGGGTGTGGTGATAGCTGTAGCAGGAGCAGATGAGAGTAGCGGTAATGATGTGATGGCTCAGCATCTGCCAGTGGTCCTTTCGTCGCTCCTCGATTTGGATAACGAGCATCTGTTGCAGCCAGAAGCCCCATTGAGCAAGAATGTAAAACTTCATGAGCCCGTCAACCTCACGGTTAGGCCAGTCGGTCCAAAGCTCTCTCATGTTCAGGTAGTATGGCGACTTGCAGTAGATGTACTGCCAACATGTTAGTAAAAGGCCAAATGAGTATTGGCAGTGCTCGGTAAACTTACGACGCCCATTGGCCAAAAGAAGCTGTAGTAAACAATCAACCATGACTGCTCAGTGAACCGGGTCAAAAGCTTCCGCTTCGAGATTCCCTGAACCTTAGCAAGAGGTGCCAGCACATATTCCATGACAGCCGCCCGCAGCCCGGTAAACAGAACAATGCACATGGAGATGAAGTACGCATCGTCGAAGCCAACGCCATAGTCGCCAGTCTCGGGATTCTGGTAGCAAAGGTGGAAGAACTTGTATGTGTATGTCCTCGCCTTGGGGATGAAGATGTGTGCGAGGAGCGCAAGAGCAAGCAAGTTGAACGACAGCCCTATTCGACAACCACCTGTAAGTAAACGTCCAAAGGCAAAACTAGAGCATGAGAAGAGAGCGGGCTGTTCAATGGAGGCAGTAATGGCAATTGCTGGGTCGCCAATTCGGCATTGGGTGCCAGGGGAAGCCATGTAGGAATTGCCTGTCGGGAAGCAAAGCATGTGAAGTGATATAGAGGTCGGATAACGTACCAATCTGGTTCTCGATAAACCACCGCGACAAACGAGCGGAAGTGCTCAGATCCTTCTGCTTGAGTCTCCTGACAAGAACAACATTGCTTCCAGACTGCATGTATAGCGGGCCGTTCATGTTAGGATTGCTTGGTCCGTTTCGGAGTTGAGGTCGCACGGGAGCTTTGGCAGCGTTGACAACGGGTTTCTCGCCCGCCGAGGACGGAGTTGGGGTCTCGGTGTCGCTCATGGTTGAAGCACTTTGAATTGGCTCGAGAGTCCTTCGGCGACAGAAGGGGAGAGCGGCCGATGGGGGGGATGGCAGGAGGAAGGAACCGTACGGGCAAACGGGCAGTCGACACACTAAAAGAGGAGGGGGGATGTCGAGAGATGGCTCAACCCGCGGTTCAAGAGCTGCAGCAGAGCAACTACCCACCCAAAAAGATAAGGGATGGGAGATGGCGGGGAGAGAGAGGGGAGAGGGGGCACAGCCAGAGGAGGAAGGCCGGCCACGAACTCTGAAGTCGTAGAGGATCCTTGCGATTCTGACGTGTACACGACTCGAGAGCAGTGGAGGGAAGAGCAACACAAGACGAGAACATCCGGCAGAGGAAATCAGAAGCAACGCCGCGGCGGGAGAAGTGGCCTGGCAGAACGGGATCGACTTTCTCTAACCAGGTCGCAACCCCTGGTGCGGCGGTTAATAATTTCTGTCCATCCATCTGGGCTGGTTGGCTAGCCTAACCTGCAGGCCCAGTTGGCCTGAACCGGCCCCGGCCACAATTTTGCAAGATCCCGAGGGGCGTTTTACTGGGTGCCTGTGAGCTTGGCCCCAAACGAAGGCCCACTGCTCCCACCGGCAGGGGGGATGCCCAGTGGAGTTGGCTGGAGCAGGCCTTGCCCAGGCCCAAAGGCGGTGAGCAGGGCCCCCGTTGCGAAGACCAATAACGCCTGGGCTTTTAGGGAGATGTTGAATGCTAGCCTCCACTAGGCCTGGAGCCTGTTCCATGCTGGAGCTCAACGATCTTGACGCTACAAGAGGCCGTGGCCGAAGCCAGGTGCTAAAATTACAGTGAGTGCCCAGACAAGCAAAAAGTAAAAAATTCAAAATCCAGGGGCTCGGTACCATTCGGGTGCTGTTAATCGCAATTAACCTTGTTGCCACCTTAGACAATAGCTCAGGGCGACTCAGGGTCTTCCTATCTCCAATGCTAGTCCGCCGAGGCGCCCATTCAACATTCCAAAAGTGGTAAGAATTCTCAAAACGTGAGGACATGTTCAACTCCTTCCTCATGACGGTGTTGCATCGACTCAAATAAAGATCCCCCCTCCACCCACCTTCCCCCACCCCTTTTCCTCAGCCGACCTCTCTGATGTCCAGCCAATTCAACATTGCCCGCCCGTGCGTGCGTGGGTTATTACGGAGACAAGGGGATCAATGGCCTCCACAACAAACTTGGGAGTTTAGCTTGCAGCCAACGGATCCATGCTGTGACACACAGCAGCTACCGAGTCGCATTGGCAGGATGGAAGCTGCAGGCCTGACCTACATACAACTACCAAGGACGGGTTACCCCGCGCAGGGCATTGGCCTAGGTACGTGCAGCGGAGGCAGCCATTGGCCAACCAGGCGTTGCGTTTTTGCTCGCGATCGCCTGTCGCATTGGATTTCAGCCGCCAGCGTGTACGTACAGGCAAACACAGCTCATTGCCAGGTACAACGTAGTAAATGCCTCCTCCTGCTTCTTCACCGTCCCACCATTGTGTGACCTTATGTTTTCTCCCCTTCTCCTTTCCTGCGGTTTGATGCACGAGTCACATCAGATGGCCCGCTTCCAGCTGAACCAGGTGACAGAACTTTAGCAAACCCCCTTAAAATCTGGCCAGTGGCTGGAAGATCTCCACCGCTACTGCGTAATTCATTTAGGTAGGTGAATGATTGGCAGATCTACAACTCCAAGCAGTATCAAATTAACAGGCATTGCGCATCCTGTCCAAGACACCACCGCCCAACACATTCCTATATGATATTTCGCTTGTTAGTGCTGCCTCCCTTTGTGGATCAACAACGGTGCCATGAGCTCGAGCCAGATATACCTCCCAGCCTACTCCAACTCACCCACGTCTTGTAACCCCGTCGGTAGGTCCCAATTAAACCGGCTTTACATGCATCCGTAATGCATCTCCGGCATGTAGGTAATCGAGCCCCGGCTGAGCTACTTATGCTTTGGAGCCGGAATCTCCCTTCGCCTTGACCTATGGCCGGAGAGTGCCAGCCAATACCCCCACCCACGGGTCACTTCCCACAACCAGCGCCGAAGCCATTATCATTTTCCTCTGAATGACACCTTATATCATCGGGTCCATATTCCACGACTTACAAGCCAGGAGCCTAGTCTGCCGCTCGAACTTCCGGAAACTCCATAATTTATCGTCTCATTTACGCAGGCTCTTGCTCCGTTTCAAAGACACCGTTGATTTAAGCCAAAACACCAGTTGCCCCAACATATTTCTCTTTTCGTATAATACATCTCGTATTCCCCATAGATGACTGGTGGACCCTCCCTTATCGATAACACTTCCGAGAAGCATCTCACGTAAAGCAAACCAAAGTCTCGATCTTTAGTTCTCCTTGTAAGGTACTTATATCCAAGTCAAGTAAGCGAGCGACCGCCTCTTGCTGTTGTCCCAACAGAAATAAAGCTTAGCCCATGTTCGGGTCACTTACGTATTACGTTATGAAACGAAATATGTCTGACAATTCAGGTACTTTGCAGTCTGCAGCGCAAACACTCAACCCAACCCCACACCTTCTAAAGCAACGAATGGTGAACTGACAACCGGGTTACATAGGGCATTGCACACGCAAATTATAGGCGTTTTCAACCCTCAGTCCAACAGCTGAATCCTATTAAAATAGTAAATAAAATAATAAAATAGTTCTGAGAGGTCCAAATATTAAACTATTATCTTTAATGAGGGTATATTGTATAATCTGAGTTATTAGGCTATTAAGGTGAAGGGTTTAGCGAAATAGGAGATCAAAGTATCGTTTGGTGTGCAATGTCTTGTGTCACCCACTCGACTGAGTATAAGAGGATGTCTCAAGTTACCTAACATGGGAGATAGAATTGCCTAACTTGCCTTTGACGCCTAGATCATGTCATTGATATTCATTGATTAACAAATGATCTCATGCATAAGCAATGACTACGAGTGTGTGTACTATCTACTGCTTTCTGCCTATAATGAAAGGCATTTGTCTGCCCAGTGCTGCGGTATGTTTTGATGTTGATCGTGGTGGCGTATCATGCTCATTGCCACTTAGTTGCCGCCGAGGCAATACATTGATAAGTGCTACTCATTCACATTGCCAAGTGAGCCAGCTGCAGCTCTCAAGTAGACGTGCAAATGCCTCAAGCCAGTGCTAGCTTAGGACCGGGCGAAAAGCTGACAGACGGTTACAGCTCCCGGATGCTATTTTCGGAAACATAGCTTCCTGAATCCTAGCGGAGAAGTCTGCAACAGATCTTATCCATCTGCTTTGAGCTTATATTGCTAACCGTATTCGATCTCCAAAGACCAGATTGAACTGCCGTGCATGCATAGCAGTCGCACAGCTCGGCAATCCATCGGCTTCCCTATAAATGAAAGCCCCAAGAGACACATTGACAGCAATTATCCAACGAACCTTTTCCGCCAAGGCAGAGCGACTGGGTGTGGTATTCCTACGGAAATCCTACCTAAAACCCACATGTTCCCATTAGAGTAGCACCGGTGCCTGGGCACAGTGCAGTTTTCGGACTCGAACTGTCACCTTCTAGGCAATACCCGGCGACAGCACCGTGCGCGATCAGGCAGCCGGCACAGGGACTACCAGTATAGCAACTGGCGCGTGCACCAGTTTCGGACCTCCCCACATGACATGACTGTCCCATCTGGTGGCAACCGACGCCTCGTCACTCCTCCGTCCTACAAGCATCTCGTCATCGTCAAATCGCCGACGCTCAACAGCCCATTCAAGAGCACCCTCTACATCGCGCAGATCAGATACAGCTCACCCCGATAGAGTGATCGACCGACAGACACCATGGCCTCCAAAGCAAAGTACAGCCAGGCTCCTCAGGAAGACCCGGAGGACTACACCTCCGCCCCCCCAGCCTACGGAGCCGCGGCTGGCTCGTCGTCTCGCGATGAGACACAGGCCATGTTCGGCGAGCCCCGGTCCAGCGACGACAACATCCCCGATGACTTCAAGGTAAGTCAGGCAGACCACCCGCGACAGCGAGCTACGGAAGAAAACTAACCCGCATGTCCCGATAGTTCGGAGGCTCGGTAGCAGAGGCGACCATCGACATCCGCAACCAGTTCGTGCGCAAGGTCTACACCATCCTCACCTTCCAGATCATCGTTACCGCCGGCGTCAGCGCCATCTCCTTCTTCAGTGAGGGTTACAAGAAATGGATCCAGTCCCACCAGGCTGTTGTCTGGATTTCGGTACGTCGCAGATTAACATTATACCAATATCAGCTTTAAAGGCTTCAAGTAAGGAACCTCATGACTGACTTTGTAAATCCAGCTCTTCGGTTCGATGATCTTCATGGGCCTCACATACTGGAAGCGCAAGTCCTACCCTACCAACCTGATCTTCCTGTCCGGCTTCACCCTCCTCGAGGCCTACACCATATCCGTAATCGTCTCGTTCTACAACAGCACCGTCGTCCTCAACGCCACCGTCATCACCGCGGGTATATTCGTCTTCCTCACGTTATTCGCCTGCCAGACAAAGTATGACTTCACGTCGTGGATGCCGTACCTGTTTGGTGCCGTCTGGGGTCTCGTCATGTTCGGCTTCGTCGCCATGTTCCTTCCCCACGACTCCACCACCCAGCTCATCTACGGCGGCCTCGCTGCTCTCATCTTCAGTGCCTATATCCTCGTCGACACTCAGCTCATCATGCGCCATCACCATGTCGAGGAGGAGATCGCCGCTGCCATCAGCCTCTACCTCGACGTCATCAACCTGTTCCTTGCTATCCTCCGAATCTTGAACAGCCAGTCCAACAACTAAGTCGGCCTCCGAATGGTCTGACGAGCTGTAAATCGCCTGTCAGTGGAAGAGTAGGGTCCCTCAGTTCTTGCGTTGGGTGGAGTTGCTTGATCATGGTCAAAAAGCTGTTTAACTTCAGCCTTGTCTGAATTCATTGACCAATACTTTGGTTTCCTTTCAAAACTTACTTATCCGCTACTACTTGGTTTTACATTACACAACACGCAGGTTTTACTTTTGTCTTAGCATTGAGTATGAATAGTGAAATTGGTATAATTGAAATGTGCATTAGAAGTCCACTAGTGTAATAGGAAAAATAAGAGAGCTGGTTGAAAGATGAATACCAAGACAACTCAACAAGATACCTCCGCTGGAGATGGTAGGCGGGCAGTCAGGCCAGCCTCTCTCCGCCATCAGTAATTTCGACCTCAACAGGTCGAACCAAAGCCGCCTTCCGACTCGTTTGGATATCTTGTTCGAAGCTGATAGATAACGACTCTCTCATGGCCCCCACGGTTCGATAACTATTCCAATTGCCCCCACAAAACGTCTCCTATTACCCCATAAATGGCACCTCTCTAGGCCTCTCTAATATCGTCTGAATCGTAGGCAGCTTTGGTGTAATGAATCGCGTACAAAAAGCAAAAAGTTCAAATCGATTGTGGGGATTCTTCATTTTTCAGCCTGCCCATTTGCGGGGGACAAACAACCAACGCCAGCAATAAGGAATAGACCAAAGGTAGGACTTTTTGGTCGCCATAGGAAGGCCCCGGGTGGTTCACTCAAACAATCTATTCGTGGTCACCATTGGACTCCGGGGGAATCTGGGATGCTTCGCGCTGCATGCGGGCCTCGATCTCGCGGAGCTGAGACTCGCGAGCAAGCAGTTCCTGTCGCTTCTCATTAATCTCGCGCTGGACCTTAAGCTCGATCTCACGCAGCTTCTCCTCTTCTCTGCGGAGCTGCTCCTCCTTGAGACGGACGGACTGGGATGCAAGATCCTCAGGGTTCATGGAGCTGTCAATGCTATGTATATATTAGTCTTTTTGGTCGTTTGTTCGTTCTAATCAGAGAAACTTACCCGGAACCACCATCAACACTCTTAGAGAGCTTCTCAGTACGGTAGTTTTCGTACAGGAAGTCGTGGGTGATTTCCTTCAAGTCAGCAAGATGGCTGTGGAGCAAGGCAGAGCGAATGGCAAGGAAGTCAGAGTGGCGAGGGTTGTCAACCTCAACAACTCCCCACGGGTATTGGCGAGCTCGGACCTTGCGACCGCCGATCTCAACCACCTCCTCGGAGCCCACAATGGCGAAGGGCATGAGGCCGCGGAGCTCAGCATTCTCCTCGACAGTATCCTCGTCGTCCTCCTCAATATCGTAAGGGAAGTTGTACACAGGGATGCGATAGTGCTCGATATCCTCCATCACCAGCTTCTTGGACTCGGCAAGCTCGGCGGGGGTAAGGGAGTCGGCACGTCCAATGACAGGGATAACATTGACTCGGGGAGCCAAGCGCTTCATGAGTTCAATGTCGAGTTCGCGCAAGCTAAAAAAAAAAAATCCACAGTCAGTACAGCCGAACGATACAAGGCGAGGAGGTCTGAGAAACATACCCATGGCCGGTAGGTGTGATAAAGTAAAGCATGGCGTGGACGCGGTTGTCCCTGAAACGGGGGTTACGCTTGATACGGGACTCCTCGGCCAGAATGTCATCATATTGTCTCTCAAGATAGCCGACGATCTCCGAGAAGCTATATTGTCGTGTAAGCAAGTGACGGTCAAGCGCATAGTGCGTTAAGATTTACCTAGCCTCGTTGTCGATCGCATCACCAAATCCAGGGGTATCGACGATTGTCAGGGAAATACGGGTTCCCTCCTCATCAAGCTCAAGCTCTGTCGTAGAGTTAGTTGTGGCCGTGTCACAAAACCCCCTGAGGGAATCTAGATTGACATACCAACTGTGATGGGCTTAATCTTAACACCCTCCTCGGCAGAGGCGTCGTTGACATCGTCGGCATCCTTGTGAGTAAGAACACTCTTGCCGCATAGGGTGTTGACAAAGGTGGTTCGTCCTGTAGCTAGGGGTGAGCTTCATTTGCGCATCAGGGAGACTTCTCGTTGCTCGTGAATAACATACCAGTTCCTGAGGCGCCACAAACCATCAGACAAAACTGAATGCCCTTCTTGACATTCTTCTTCCGGCGAATCATCTTCTAAATAGGAATGAAACCCGTTCGTTAGCCGGAGTTCAAGCAGCAATCATAATAGAAAGTTTCCTTCGTGGTGTGGGTGTTTGTTCGGGGAGAGGTCGAAAGTCGAGCTATCAAGGGTGGATAGGGAGTTCGAGGGCAGAGCAGACATACAGCGGCAGACGACATGTTGGCTAATTAATTGCTGGCCCGGTACAACAACGACAGAGCAACGGCGAGAATTGGCGTAGGATTACGAGCGTCGCGATGCAGCTCTCAAACTTCGATGTGGAGGAGGTAGACGGGGGACGGAAACGCGAGATGGTGCGAGGCAGACAAGGAGAAAATGACCAAAGAGGACTGGCAAAGGAGGTGGTGGCTCGTATGCTGATTGACCAAGTGGTGCTTCAGGGTGGTGCCTTCTTTGGGGTCGGGTGCAATTTCGAGCCCAGCCAATGGGTCTTGCGCTGGCAACGGCTCAGGGGGTCCCACCTCCTGGCAGCTCTTTCTCAGGGAGGGAGGCCGGCGGCCAGAAGCGTGCTCTGACCGCAACTGCCCCCAGGAATTTTGGCGTCAGGGGACGTGCTAGGAATGGTGGTCCATGCGTCTGCCATTACCCAAATTTCAACACCAGGCTCGAAGCAGCAAGGTCCACGGCCGGTAGTTTCTCGGAGGCCCTGACAAGGGGAACAACGGCTGTTATCATGCCGTCACGTGCGCAATCGTGGCTGGATCTATTTCCAGATCGCACCAGCCACAGGTGCCACAGTGTCACAGCTCTCCCCAACACGAGGCAGCCTAGCCTGGATGGTATGGAGGTTAACAGGAACTCTCTCTTTCACCTGAAGCCTACGCGACGGAACAGAATCTTGCAATATAGCCGTAGCATACCATCTCCTGCTCCATCTCCATTCAGTCTTGTGTTTACACCTCCCGTCACTCTTATTGCTGGCTGGGAACTTACTCCCACATGTGTGATACAACTTGCCCCATCCTGACTCCTGTCCGATTCAGATCACCTGTCTGTCCGTCTGCCTGTCTGTCCACCTAACTAGCTTCCCCTGGGTGCCCCGCGACGACGACACCTTCACAAGCCTGCGTCACTCATCATACAGGCGGAAGACGTGCAAGCAATTCACTCAAACCCTGCCGGCTGCATAGCGACGGATCCGACAGTGCACCACCATGATGCTGTAATCAACGGACAACCATCTATGCCGTCTACTTTACAACCACCCCAGCCGACTTGCGTCCTCTCGATATCGCCGCCTCACCCACACCCACACGTATCCACTGCTGAGGCCTGCTCTCGGTGATCAACTCTACCGGCAGCATGAACGTCCGGGGGCCCATCGACACATCGATCCCAACTGCCGTATTGTCGGCTTCTTTTAACAATGACTCCAGTTGCTTCAGCGTCGGCCTCGAGTCTGGACTATGCAGTACGTGACGTCGCCCGCCCCCTGCTGTGCCCACTCTCAGACCTGACCAATACCCCAGTCTTCCATACCGAAAATTGCCGGCTCAAAGCTTCAAGAGGTATGTCTATCTACCACTACCACTACTCATAAGAATTATTATTGAGGCTGTTACAAGACTTCAACGCTGGCGTCGGTCTCGTCCAGATGATGGGCGTGACCAACTATCTCGCGTTAGTTGGAGGCGGGAAGTCCCCCAAGTTTGCCATGAATAAGGCTATCATTTGGGACGACATGAAAGGCAAAGTTGCAATCGAAATCACAGCTCTCTCGCCCATTCGAGGCGTCCAACTCAACCGAGAACGCATCGTCGTTGTGTTGCAAAACAGTGTCCGTGTATATTCGTTTGCTAAGCCACCGGATCTCCTCCATGTCTACGAGACGGCAGATAATTTATTTGGCTTATGCTGCATTTCTGATAAACAGCTCGTGTTTCCCGGGCGTACCTCTGGTCACATACAAATTGTAGAGCTCGCGACTGGCAATGTCAGCATCATTCCCGCGCACTCATCATCTCTCCGGGCCATCCAGCTGAGTCCCGACGGCCATCTGTTAGCCTCAGCCAGCGAGACCGGGACACTTATCCGCATTTTCGCAACAAGCAATTGCGCCAAGATCGCAGAACTTCGGCGCGGCATAGATCCAGCGAGCATCTTTTCTCTCGGATTCTCCCCGTCGGGAAACCTGCTCGCCTGCACGTCAGACAAATCAACCCTCCATGTCTTTGACGTCCCACATCCACGCAAATCGCAGCCGCGTCAACCAGCAAATGCTGTTAGCCCTCCTAGCCCGGATGCAGATGCAGGGAAATGGGGTTTTCTCAGCAAAATCCCTCTTATGCCTCGCGTCTTCTCCGACGTGTATTCATTCGCATCGGCCCCGTTCGAGGCTGGAGACGACGGCACTATTGGCGGGATCCCCTTCACAGGAACCACCGTTCTTGGTACAACAAAACCACCAAAAGGAATAATTGGTTGGATCTCGGAGGACACCATTGTGGTTATCGGAGCTGGGCAAGATGCCAGATGGGAGAGGTTTGTTATAGGAAAGGGCGATGAAGGAAAGCGATTTTGCCGCAGAGAGAGCTGGAAACGTTATCTTGGGAATAGCTGATGCAGTGGAAGGAACACCCATGTGCAGGGCAATATACAAAGAGGGAATCCATTGGCGTTCGGGGTCCGGTCTGGGTTATTGATACATTTGTGGTGATTACAATTTTGATTAGATGGCAGAATCGCTTAGTCGTCATACCGCCGTGGAGATCGGCTCCTACTTCTTTCTCTTGGCTTTCTTTGCCGGTCCTGGTCCCTGTCATCTCTTCGACTCCTGTGTCGTGGCTCGTCAGAACGTTCACGGGAATGATGCCGTCGTCGTCGCTCACGATCCTCATCCTCGTCTTCGTGTCTTCGTCTTCGCTTCCCACTCCTCGAATCGTCCCTGGGTTTATGTCGGGCAGAGTCTCTATCACGATGATGCCGAGTCCCATCCTCTTGTGAATCATCTCGTCGTGATCTCCTTGACTCTCCATCCCGCCTCTCATCCCGCCTTCGATCTGACTTTTCATCTCGCTTAGACCTGTGCGAGTGGTGGTGCCTGTGCCGATGTTTGTGCTCTTTCTTGTCGGCCTTGCTGCGCGCCTCTTCAATTTCCTTCTTTTTCTCCTCGATCAGGAAGCCCTTCATCGGGTCATCGTCATCGTGATCCCGAATCAAAAGCGCAAGCTCCCTCTCTTGTGGCAACACTGGTCGTTTCTCCTTCTCGTCCTCGCTGCTCTCATCCTCCGACACCTGCTTTCCCTCCTTGCGCATGATATCCTCCCATCCGACTTTGAACTCTTCAGGGTCCTCATCATCGCGTGCCTTGTACCTCGCATGGTCAACACGGAGCAAGCGCCCAGCAACCTCCGCGCCTCCCAGGTTGTCAACAGCTAAGTCTGTGCTACGCTGGTCTTCGTACTTGAGCCAGCCAAAACCCTTTGACTTTCCCGTTTCCTTGTCGCGCACGAGTTTGAGGAATACCGGTTCGCCAAACTGTGAAAATATCGTAATCACGTCTCCCTCGGAAAGTTCGTACGGGAGACCACCAAAGTAGACATACGCCGTGTCGCGATAATCGACGTGCCAAGAGGCGTCGGGCGAGCTGCGTCGCGTTAGTGAGCGCCTAGATTCTATAGGGAGCCATGATCGTAAACTTACATTCCATTCTCAATCTCCTTCTTATTCAGCGCCTGGATGGCGCGAATCTGGTTCATCTTTGGTCACGACGCTGGCTTTCTTCGCTAAGCAGGGGAATGTTGAAGATGGGATGCCTATTTCGTCAGTGGTATTTTTTACTAGCTCGGCTTATCTTATCTTATCGCTGCTATAAGAGCTGAGCTCAACAGCTACTACAATTCTCCGAACATGCATACATAGCACCTTGCTCGTAATTTTTATTCTTAAAATAAAACTTACTACTACTTGGTTCAATCTTGATAAACGAGACGGGTGTTTTTTTTTTATAAGTTCATAGATCCCTTGCTATGTTATTACCTGAAGCGAAGCTGTCATGAAGACAATCGTTGCGTGGATCTCGAATGGGAATTTCGTTAGACCAACTTTTACAATGTTATCCAAAGTATAAAGTTCGTGAGTACACGCGCAATGCATCTATTGAAATCAATGATATTTCGGCTAGCAGTAGTACCGACAGAATTTCCACCAAAAAGATTAACGATCTTTATATCATCAATTCCGGGATAATAAGGGGCGAGAGTAATCATAGACACGACACAGAGTGCCGGGTAGGTGAAAGGGATGGCATCTTGATTAGCAGCTTGCCGCCAGCGCATCGATTGGATTTCATGCGGCGGGTCATTTCCCGGCCCGACGCGACACAAGCATAGTCGTCACGCTGGGATAGATCATCAACACAGGCTTCCTGGTCCACCAGCCGAATTAATTATCCTGCCCCTCTTCCCTTTGGCGATTTCGATCCTGCGGGCCCTTGATAACCTGCCCAACGCCATGAATCCGCCCATTCCCTAGACTACGACGATCAACGACGGTGACGAGCCTCCCCCTGGATTGTCTCTCCAGCGTCCTTGCGCTGTTGCAGCATTCTATGCTTTGATTTCGAAGAAGGGAGGTGTTGCTTTTTCCCCAGTATTTCTTACGAAGATACGCAGTGGGCCACAAGGTCAGAGGAGCGCCCATGACTGCGAACGCAAACCGAATGTCGACCCATACGGCTGGGTCAGGGGAGACGGAGGGACGAAATGGCGAACAGAAAAAGAACCTTTGGACGTCAATGTTGGAGTCTGTCGCAAGCGGTAAACGGCTTCCGGAGAAGAATTTACTGGTCCTAGGTACGACCGACCCGTTGGATCAAGATGGCCGACACCTTCGAGTACTGACCGGTTCATGTTAGGAGGAACACCAGAATCACAGCGAGACTTCCTTGAGTCCCTATCGAGCCCCGAGTCGAGACGCAATCTGGACCGGAGTAAGATCCCTCCAGTTGCCAACAACTTTGCGCTCGGATACACGTACTACGATGTCCTTGATGCCGACCAGGACGGTGAGTAGCGATTCGACCCAGCTACGGCAGATCTATACTGACTGGGAAACTCTAGATACCCTGGCGCGCGTGTCCTTATACCTTTTATCTCAACCCTCTAGCGAATTTTCAACTCTTGTTGCTCCTCTATTAACACCCGAATCTATACCTAATACCGCGCTGGTGATCCTCCTCGATTGGGCCGAGCCTCACCTGTGGCTGCGTCAGATCCGTCGCTGGATCAGCTTGTTCAGGATTGTCCTCCAGAAACTAGGAGACAAAGAGCATGCCGAAATGGAAGAGCAAGTCGAGGCCTGGAAGCAGAGAGGCAGAAGCGGAGGCTCTACAAATCTAGACGGGACTCCCTCAGCAGCAGGCGTAGCAGGAGAAGCCGACACCGCTCTTCCACAGGGGCCTGGAGAGTGGACGGACCCATTGGGCCTGCCGCTCTGTGTCGTCTGCCAGAATGTAAGTTCCGTGGTCCTGGTGGCGTGCTGGTCATTTTTATACTGACGCTGTGAAGTCTCAAAGGATGGAACTGCTGGAGAAAAACCAGGGCTGGAAGGAGCCGGACTTTGACACTGTCCTCCAGTACTTGCGAACAGTGCTTCTCAGACGTGAGACAGATTCCATGTCATGTCCCGTTTGCAAAGTAGCTAACCATGTCTCCTAGATGGTGCTTCTCTAATCTATACATCTCAGAACTCCGTCTCCCAGCTCCCCACTCTTGTGCATTCTACGCTGGGAATCACCTCACTTTTAAAACGCCAACCTCTCAAACACAATGTTATTGATCGCGATAAGATCGTGGTTCCTCCCAATTGGGACTCCTGGGGCAAGATCCGGGTGTTAGTAGCTGCATTCGATGTCGAGGCAGTGTCTCAAGCCTGGTTCGAGGACATTGAGGGACGCTTTGGCGAGGAGCCCCTGACCTTGGAAATACTCGAGGAGAACCGGAAAGCCCAGGAAGAAACCGCGGAACCTTTACAGACTGACAGTGCTATCGCCCGCTATGAGGATTGGTGCCTGGACTTTGATAGCGGCGGCCTGGCTGTCGTAGAACACGCAATGAACGGCGGCAACAACGTCAACATCCATAGCGACGAGCCGCAGGTGTACCTCGAGTCTCAGCTGAAGATCCTCGAAGCCTTCAAGGCCAAGACACAACCCGAGAAGATGTCCAACTTCGACATTCTCCTGGCCACGGGCCGTGTCCCGGAGAGAGAGGCCGTCAGCGACCACATCGGCCCCGTGCAGTTCAACGTGGGAGGCATCCAGGTAGATGCAGACGATATGCTGAGACGCCTCAAGGTATGCACTCACTACCCAACCCCAGCTAATAAAAAACCACAGGCTAAACCATTCCAGGACCGAATCGACACCGATGCACCCGAGGCAGACCAGGACGAAGAGTCTGTCGGGTCGGAACCTGCCCAGCCCAACGTCACAGAGAAGTACGACAACGAGCAGCTCCAGAGCTTCTTCAACGGCTTGATCAACCGCGAAAAGACGGCCGGTACACGAAATTGACTTTGCACCCGCACCCATTTTCCCTCCAAAAAAAACCTTCGCATCTTCTTTCACTTCCAAGCGCCGGCATATCACGGCTTCTGCCCCTGACCTCTTGAGGCCCCTCAGCATTAGTAACCATTCTTGCACCTGAGAATATAGCACAGGACAAGGGAGCTGAGCGGTTGGTTTTCCCTCGAAAAAAAATTGTAACTATGCATTGTCGAGAGACGAACGGTGGAAGCTTGGGAGAGGGATGAGGCAGGGGTCGCTGTAGACTAGATACCCCTTGACGAGATACTTCTTTTTTTAAAAAAGGTTGATAAATTTTACACGTACATAGATAGAACCCGAGCTGAAAAATTGAATAAGGCTGGATTCATATACAGAGTTGACCGTGGGCGTGATGATCGTAATGCACGTGGCTCAGGTAAATGACATATGTTTGATAGTGTATATATTTGTATTCATTTCATGGCATGAAAGAGGACAGGTGCGTAAGTCATCATGGAAGGTAGAAAAGATAAGAACAGACAGAAAAGTGCCACCTTAAGTGAAAATAGATGGAAATCAATACTCTTCCCCTGGAACTCCCCATCTAAGAATAATGCAAGACGTAAGAAAAAGATCACATTTGAATCAACTCATGCGGCCTTGGTCCTCGTATCCTTGTACTTGACTTCGCGACCACTCTTCTCGACGCCCAGCCTGGCGGTCACGACACCCAGCAGCAGGCCGGGGAACAGCCAGGGGTGCTGCAGGATCTCGGCCTCGAATGCACCGACTGTCTCTCTTGCAAGGGCTGTATATTTGTCGTCCGCGAGTAAGTCACCGAGGCGGAACAGATTGGTAACAGAAACGGAATTAGTTGAAGGAAGGGAAGTGTCCATGCCGTCCTTGAGCCTAATAATTGTGTGAGGAGAGGAAGGAGTTGTGTAATAGAAGGCGCCAAGAGGATCATAGAAGAGCGAGATTTGGGTTTCTACCACCGCGGTTAGATGATTCCTTGACTACATTTTATTTCACTCCTGAAGAGGGTTGGGAATGACTTACTCTGAAGAACATCAGCAAACTCGAGGAGGCTTTCATCGCCGGTAGCATCGAAGAGATCGACCAGACCGAAGATGACATAGGCGTAGTCGTCGGCGAAAGCTTCCGTGGTGGATCTTCTGCCCTTCCATATTCTGTAGAGCACCTTTCCGTCCCATAGCTGTTCCTGGATGAAAGCGGCAGTCTTCTTGGCCACACTAAGGTACCTTTCGGCTAGATCTGGTCGTATAGACTTAAGCGCACCACCAGTTCTTGCCAATGACGAGATAGCCAGGCCATTGAATCCGGTGACGACCTTGTCATCGATCTCAGGTCTTATACGCTCCTTATCGCGCTTCTCCTTGAGGCCAGATGTGGCAGTCTTGATGAATTCCGCGACCGTCTCGACAGGGAGATTGAACTGTTTACCTAGATCCTCCGGTGTTCTGCGAATTCGGAGGATGTTCCTGTTGATAAAGTTGTCATTGGGGTCGTGATGTTCGTCCACATTTCCATCCTCAAGAACATTGTAGTATGCTGCCGCCACCTCGCAGACCTGCTTGTCCGCATTGATAGCTGAGTCGAATTCTCGGCGAGTCCACAGGTAGTAGGCACCCTCCTGCATATCCTTATCGCCTCGCTTCTGATAGGAGTCAGCAGCCTCACTAGAGGCGATCCCCCCGTCGGGGAGGGCGATAGGAGGCGAAGTCAAATAGTCAGCCAGCTCAATTACAGTGTTGAAGAACTCGCCGTCTTCCTTTCCTGAGACATACAGCCATGCTTCCAGATACAGGGTTAGCAGCAAGGCATTATCGACGACAAGCTTCTCAAAGTTGGGGATGCTCCAGTCTGGAGTGACAGAGCATCTCGCGAAACCTGTTCGGCCGACGTGATCGCGAAGAGCGCTGCTTGCAATTTGTCGCAAGGTATCGAGAGCCATGTTTCGAGCCTGCTGGCTATCAGGGTAGCCAACTACATCCTGAACAGGAGATGCCAGACCCGGCAGTCGCAGTAAGAAAGCCAGCTTGGGAGGGGTGTGAAACTTGGGTGCGAGACCAAAGCCTGCATACACGGGGTCAAACGTGCCCGCAATGTGGGTAAAGGCCTCTTCCACCTGATCAATATCAAGCTCACTGGCCACGATTCCCTCCTTCCTGCCAATATGGAAGACGGCAGCGGATGCATTGCTTGTAGTCTGCGGCGCTATGGCATGAGAGCCACCTAGGGTCCGGGTGCCAAGGGTTCCCTCTGCAGCAAAGTCTCGTAGTTGAGCCACGACCTCGGTGGCCTCCTTCTGACAGCGCGCTTCTTGGTCTCGCCAGATCTGCTGGACTTTCTTGATAACGCTTACAAAGTCGAGAACCTCATCGTCTCTGTCCCCGACAGTATCACCGCGGGTTGTAGCAGAACCTGACCCAGGCCAATATGTGCCTCCGAAAACAGGTTCCAAGTTTGCAGTAAGAAACAAGTTCAAGGGCCAGCCTCCGGAGCTGCTGACGGCCTGGACATAGTTCATATAGATGGAATCGAGGTCGGGACGCTCATCGCGGTCGATGACAATGGGGATAAAGTACTCGTTGAGAAGAGCCGCACAGTCGGGGTTCGAGAATGACTCCTGTGCCATCAGGCGGCAGTCTGGGGAGAGTGTCTGTTAGCAGGAAGGCCGGGCGGGGATACGGCATTGGTCCAAACTCACGGTGGCAGGCTAGGTAGCCGATGTGCATGAAGATGAGCTTGTGCTCTCTTCTGGCTCGCTCAATACTGGCATTGTCGAGAGGTTGCCAGGCCACAGGGCTGTCGACAAAGCTCTTGACGAAGGGGCTGGTACCCTCGGAGGTGCGGTTCTGGAGGGGGGTGAGGTGCTCGGCACTTGGGGCACCCTCCCCGGAGATGGGACCCAAGGCCTTGGCCGAAGCCGTGAGCTCGGAAGCGCCCAGCATGGTGTTGCGTGGGGACTACGGCAAGCTCTGAAGGTGGTTGCGACAGCAGCACGCGCAGAGAGACGGCAAGAGGCGAGGTAGGGGAGAGGCGGGAATCCAGTTAGGCAGGGCCTGGGTGTCCAGTATGGAAGCTTCGGTATTGGCTGGAAGTTACTTTGGGTCTAGCAGGCAGATGATATCAATCAAGAATGGGGAGACCTGGTTTGGCCGTCGCGCACGGGTGGATCAGCGGCACGACACGGCACAACGCACCTGGCCTGGGGTCTGATGAGATGGAAGAGGGTCTTGCGGATGGGAGCGCTCCGGGCCGTCTGCTGGGGAATGGGCGAGGGTTTGATCGATTCTTTTGTTTCTTTTCACCTCATTCCGTGAGCCCGCCCTGAGGTCGAGGAGAAAAACGATTCAAGTCTTGTAATCGCTGCTGGGCGTTGGCGGGGTCGGGGGAGGGTACGCCCCGCCTACTGAAGGAAGTCGCTGGCGAGCCACATATGATGAAATGGCCCATCCCATAGCGCTCACCCTTGGTTTCTGGCGGCGGGGCTGCCTGCAAACTTTACAGAACCAGAAGGAGGGGCACCGCTAAGGCCCTTGGCCCATGGGCAGCAGCAGGGGACCTTACCGATTGCCGCCTGTCCAAAACTGACAGTCCACCACGGAAATACGTCTGGTGCTTGACGTAGGTACATAGGTAGGCAATTAAGCCTCTAGTAGGGGCAGCTCAGTCTTTCAATCGAGCAATCAGTTGGTCTATGATTGTCAGCTAGCAGTGAGCATACGCTCTGCAGCCATCTATCCACCCACTAGTGGCTACATATCATTTGGATTGAGACCATTTCCGTCATTGACAGACATGCTTTCGGTATAGACGCCAGATCATTGCTTTGGAACTCAATATATTAGCGAGTCCCCCCCCATGTCTCCGTATCACCATGCCTAGATATAATTAGGACCAATCAATTGATATCTATTGGACGCATGAAAGAGAAACGTCCTCAAATCAATTAAGACGTTGAGAGTTTCGAAGATGCACCCAGTGCAGTGGGTCAAGCTTCGCTGGTTGGTTGGTTGGTCATTGGCTCGCTGGATTTTTGAGGGGCATGGAATAAAATCTTTATTAGACTCTTACCCTCTTATCGATCCCTCTTCAAGAGCTGCTTCACCCAATACAAAAAGTCATACCAATTGCACTTCCCGAGACAAGCGCCCTTCTCCGCAAAGATGAAGAACATTCAGCGCCTTGAGCTCCCCGCCGCGGCAGACATGCATGTCCACTTGCGACAGGGCGAACTAATGGACTTGGTGGTCCCGACTGTGCGCCAGGGAGGAGTTGATACAGCCTTCGTGTATGAAGCCCACCAACCCAATTACCCGGTGCCATATCAAGTTTGCTAACCAAATGTTCTCGCTAGAATGCCCAATCTTGTATGTAAACTGGAGGCCTAACGGTGATGGATTGGCTATTCGCTCGTCCGTAAAATGGATGGCGTGGGGGTTTCCGGGGGTGGACCCGATACCCCAACCAAACAGCATCATACTAATACACTGAAACAACTTGTAGGTGCCTCCTCTGACCGCTGTTGACAAGGTATGTGTGGATATTGAGGGTGACCCTCTCCATGAGCCGTGAGCATGCCCTTTGATGTATCAATGTGAATCTGACGGTCAGTAGGTTTTGGAGTATCAGTCCAAGCTGCAAGCAATTACCAAGGATGTCCACTTCCTCATGTCCCTCTTCGTGCGTTGCAACCCATTCCTCGTAGATTCTATGGGGTTTTCCCGTTGTCTTACCCTCTATTCATAGCTTCACCCTTCTGTTACCCCAGAGGTCATCGCTCAGGCAGCAGCAGCTGGAGTTAGTGGTGTGAAACTCTATCCCCAAGGTGAGTTGGCATCCATTACTGCCATGTCTGTCTGTAGGTTGTGCCAACTAATACTGGATAAGGTGTCACCACAAATTCCGATAATGGAGTGGCCAACATTGAAGCTTTCTACCCAACCTTTGCTGCCATGGAGGAGCATGATATAGTCTTGAACCTCCACGGCGAGGTGCTGGAGTCGCTCGCACCTCCAGATAAAACCCTGGAAGAGGCATTCCTCCCTACGTTGAAGAAGCTCCATGAAAGCTTCCCAAAGCTCCGCATTGTGGTGCGTGTGCCCCCTGACCCCTAGGTTCGTGCCTGAGGAGGGTACACTAACATTTGGTGCTTTTCAGCTTGAGCATTGTACTACTGCAGCAGCAGTCGAAGCGGTTCGCGCCTGTGGACCAACTGTTGGTGGTATGTTTTGACTCATTCTGTCGTTCGTATTCTTTTTTGTAACCAAGTTGCTGATGACATTGTGGCACGTAGCCACCATCACGGCCCATCACCTTTATCTCACTTCCGCCGAAGCCTGCTGCGACCCATTTGCTTTCTGCAAACCTATTCCCAAGAAACCCACGGATAGGGATGCTCTCCTGAGGGCCATTGCAAGCGGCGAAAACAAGTTCTTCTTGTGAGTTCCCTCATGGATGGACAGACATGTCGCAATTCTGACCTTAATCCTTCATAGTGGAAGCGACAGCGCGCCCCATCTACTCCAATCTAAGAAATCTGCTGCTCAAGGTAAGGCTCCTGCAGGCGTCTTCACACAGCCGTACGTTGTGCAATTGGTCCTGCTTGCGCTCGAGGAGGCCATCGAGCGCGGCGTGATCAAGGAGGGAGAGATTACCCAAGAGAAGCTGGAGGGATTCCTGAGCCGCAATGGACGCAAGTTCTACAAGCTTCCCGAGACTTCAGGCAGAAGAATCGTGCTTGAGAGAAAGGGGGATAAGATCCCTCCCAGCGTGGCGAGCGCGGACGGCGCCACTGAGGTTGGTATTTCTCGGGAAGGCGCGGAGGTTTTCACCCTGACATGGGTTTGAGGAATTGGAAAGATTCATTAGATAAAACATGGATAAAAAGGTGAAATAAGTTGTTGAAGAGAGCATATGTTGAGTCAACATGAGACGAAAGAGGACTACAAGCATTGACTTGGTCTGGGCAAGGAGTAATGAAAGCCAGGAGAACTGACGACCAATTGGCCTTGAATACCCGTGGGGTCGTAAGAATCGAACTCCGAGCGATCTCAGGAACACCCCGCGAGCTGATGTCAAGATATCCAACGTGCAGGAGGCTAGGCATGGAGGGTGTTGATTTAAATGGTTCGTCCCTGACTGCCCTGACACGTGGGATCCACCAAACCATCCAGGTCCCTGCCGCGCTAATGCGGGACCTTATCGATAGGATGATCAGCCCCAGACCCGCATGACTGACTGCAGCCTGTCGGTTGTGGGTAGCTCTCTCTGAGCTAAACGTCCCGTCCGTCATCTTCCCACTTCCATTCTTTTGCACTTTCCATCTCACCTGTGCTGCGCCTTGGGGTTCCGACGCCCAACTCTTTCGGTCGTTTCGAAATATCGATGGCGGATCCAACATATACAATATGGGTGCGGGTGCCTATCCCGAGAGGCGATTTCGTTGATCCCCCACAGGTACACCTGACCGTGATGGTTCATCTGCACGTGCGAGCCGAACTGACTTCCAGAGCAGGTTAGTTGGGATTCTGGAAAGGATGAAGCGCTGTGGAAGATACTATCTGGCGCCGCGCAGACGGAAATTGATTGTAGGTTCTCTCACAATTGAGCTCCCCTTGAAACAAGCATAATGTAAAGTTAACCGGTCTTACTCTATAGGGAATTCAGTGTAGGATCCTTCATCCATTGCCCAAACCCATTCGATCGACTGACATAACCTAGCGCCGAGAGTTTCGATGTCCCCGTAGACTTTCTCTTGCGACAGGTTGCTTATATTACCGAGCGACATGCCTCCCAAGTACGTGCTCAGGTCCGTAAGGCGACAGCGGCAGCTAAAGTCGGATCGAGTGCGCCATCACCGGTTCCTGGCTCCGAATCAGCTGGCTTTCGATCATTACGGCGAAACTCCCTGACGGCCCGAGCTGGCGGCAGCGGAGCTGGTACACCCCTCAACGCATCGATACGGCCGATCATATCTCGAAACCCATCAACTAGCACCGCCGTCCTTAGAGATGCAGGTGGCTCATCATCGCCCAGGCTAGGGAAGCCCAATCATTTGGGTAGGCCTGCCGAACAAAGCGGGAGGAGGAGGCTCTCTTCGTTGCCCATCACATCAACACCCGACCCCGACCCCGACCCCGAAAGCCCGCCATCCCCTGGCCCAGCTGAATCCGATTCCACATTGACATCGGACGATGAATCCAGTCCAGCGCAGTCCCGGATCATCCGTCGACCGCCTCGCTTCCAGCAGCAGGATAATTCAACCGACTATGCTGATGACGAGGAAGAGGAGTCAGAACCTGCATTCCAGCCATGGCCAAGTTCGAACAAAAACCAGACCTCAGCTCAAGATCTGACATCTACACTTCGGGGCGATAACAGAGAAAAATTCAAACGAACGCCTAAGAGTTTGGGGAAGAAGCCACTTCATCATTCACCTTCACAAACATCCGATTCAGATGCTGGCTCGGCAGCAACGGGGGGTGGGATGGAAAAATCACTCGAACAAGGGAAGCCAAGTCCTCTTTCGCCTCGGAGAACCGCTGAGTTGGCAGGAAGAAGCCCTGGTAGTAAAGGGTACTCCAGAGATGGCAGCGATGGCACTCCTAGCATGGGTAGCAGCTTTAGTGATCTTGACGGTATGCTTCCCCTCTATTTTACCACTGGCGTACATGTTTTGTTATGTTCCTTGCATTTTATTGACCAATTTAATAGATGCATCTGTCACGCAGTCTGCGCTTGAGGAGGCATTGGCTAGTCACATGAATCGCGGAGCTGGGAGCCGCTTCAGCATCAGTCAGGCATTCCGAAGCCGGTATACTCCCAGTGGAAATCAATGAAACAACCCACTGACATTGTATGATTATGAATTATGGCTACTCATATTGCTGTTTACGCTTTGGTTAATGGCTGGCGTGGGCGAACGGGAAGCGGCGTTGGTTTAATGGGTTTATGCTGCACGTCGCCGATGTGCGTTTGACGATGCCACCTTCTGTAACTTGAACAAAGACGGGCTTGTTGTGTAATTTCTACATAGGTACGTTGTAACCGGAACAACTAGTGTTTGTTTGGTAGGCCGGACTTTTTATCAAGGGTCAATTGTTGTCTCCTCTCTACCAAAGCGTTGAGGGACCATGCACTGTCCCTTCCAGTGTTCCACCACATCCCGTGTGTTTATTGTGTGTTGCACTAGGTATGCATTGTGTTGAGTTGTCGGGCTCTGGCAGCTTCCATTGCCGTTGAACTTTATTCTCTTTTTCTTACGTTTGTGTGTTGCACAAACACAGCAGCAACGCTCCTTCCACCCTCGCCGCGCTTTTTCCTACTTTCATCTCACCCATAAAAGAGCAACTCTCCCCAGCAATACCCAACTATTTCTAGGCTCAACTTTCTTTCTTGCAAGTGATCATCTAGTCGCTCACAACCCGAAAGCCTCGATCATCATGTTTCGCCGTCTCCCTTCCGCTTTGCCAAAGGACGCCGACTTCCCTGCAGATTTGGAGAAACTCGGGTTTGTCTCCTCATCCACTGCCCTTCGCGCTCCATATCCACTGACTGGGCAATTCACGAACAGGTATTATGTTAATGATGGTGATGAGATTCGATCCATCGAGGATCCGGACTACTATTTCAAGTACTTCCTGAGCAAGAATGATCGAGTTAACCAGCGCCAGCGATTTTCTTTCAACCGTGCGAATGATCTTCCTTGACCCCATATGTGAGAACCAAAGCTAAAGCTCTACTATCATCCATAGAAGCCCTTGAGAACATAATACATGAGCGCCTCACCGAGAGGGGCCTTGAGAAGATCCGACTCCCCCTTGGCACCCCACCTTCGAAGCCTCATGTGCCTATCTTCGTCGACGCCGACCTCAAGTCGAAGAAGCGCGTCATCGTCATATTCGGACAGATGTCGCAGGACCTGGGCGTCCTCGCCGGCCGCATCGCCAACGGCGCGGGGGGGATCAACACAGGCAGCATGGTCTCCGTGGTTGACACCGCGCGGGCTGAGACATCGCCCGGCGAGGAGGCACCCGGGCTCGTCCTGGCGAACATGGGACAGCGGCGCTGGTGGCCAGAGGGGCAGCGGGCTGTCACCTCGACCGGGTGGCTGGCCACTCCGCTCCCGAGCCTGGTGCACGCGGGCAGGAGGCATGTGCCGGAGGTGAATGACATCCCGGGCAACGAGACCGGGCAGGACCACGTCCGCTGCGTTTTCGACGAGGTCCTGACCCAGATGGTCGATAAGGACGCCGTGATCGACATCATCACGATCGATGCCATGACAAGTGAGGAGGTCGAGAAGTTTCTCGACAAGAATTGGGGAGTTTGGGGACACAGGCTTAGCTCCATGGCTTTTCTTGAGACTCTTTATTCTGTCTACCAGCTGACTTCTCAGCCCTTCAAGGACTTCTTGGCGAAGGTAAGAAGCGTTATTCATTGATGGCTTTTAGCCTATGATTCCTCTTCGTGATTGTACTGACAATTTTGGCAGCGTTGCCGCAGCTACATCGTCTCTGAACAGCCCTTCGACACCCCGATTGCGCCCCCAGAGGGGATTGAACACCGCGGCCTTCAACCGTACGGCATGCCGGTCTATTCCTCCTCGGAGCCAAACCACGTCGAGTGCATCCTCATCACCGCACTCAAACCCATCATGTCCTTCCTCCACCGCTACGCCATGAGTCCAGATGCTGAGAACGAACGGGTGATAATCAAGGCGGAGGAGACTGAGGTGGAGCAGGCAAGTTTGGAGGAGATTGAAAAGTCGTGGGCTGCCGCGGAAGACGACGCTAAGCCCATGGTTGCCATTCTCAATCAAGACTACCTGAAGTCCGAGGTGAAGGCGGCCAATGCCTGGAGACGCTTCCAGGAGACTGGTGAGGCATCAATCTTTGAGGAGGAGAACAAAGAGGGCAGCAGGGTGGAACCAACTGGCACATGCTGAAACAGGAGAAGTTCGTGTGGGCTTTTCTTTTCATGAGATATACATGTACATGGTGCGCTACGAAAAAGAGGCTACTTAGAGATTGACGTAACCGGAGGATATAACTCCTTAGACAGGGGGAAGACATCAAGTGAAAGTTGGTGATGATACATGAAAATTTGCCTCCGAGACAGATAATAAACGAATGTCCCGTTTTTCTCACCCTGCCCCTGCTGGATTAGTATAACTCGTACAATTTGATGCATTTCATGAACTAAGCTTGGAACCACCTGAGGAAGCCCTCGTCCCTGGGTTTGGTGGTATCCACGAGCTCGGTGGTCCGCCTGACCCTCTCCTTCAGCACGGAGCGCTCCGCCTCCCACCGGCCCTCGACGCCCTCGGGGAGTTTGGAGCTCCAGAAGGAGAGCACGCTCGGCGTGGGCCTCTTCTCCCTGTCGAGCTGCTCCTCCTTGACGAGCTTGGCCACCATGACGGTCCAGTTGTCCAGCCCGGTCTGGAGGCACTCGCGGCAGGTCTGCTGCACGGCGGCGGCCTCCTTGCTCGCGCTCGAAGGCAGGGAGCGGAGCTCCTCCTCGGCGATGTCGACGCCCTCGCGGGTCCAGGCGAGGCCGTCCTCCTTTGACGAGGTCGAGTAGAGGATCTCGCCGATGTAGAGGTTCAGGGACGCCTCGTGGCAGCGCTCCTCGGGACTGCGCCAGGGGGGCCGGGTGCCGTCTGGAGGCGCGGGAGGGTATTCGGGAGGGGAGAAGAGCTCGATGATGGTGCCAAAGGTCGACGTCGGCCTCCTCGGTTTGGGGCGGAGTTGGCCGCGAGGCGGCTCGTTTGGCAGGGCGCGGCGGGCCTTTAGCAGCGAGATGTAGATGGGCAGCGCCTCAGAGACCTGTCCGTGCCTAGCCTTGTAATTTGCGATCGTGGTAAGAGCATCGAGGACGTTCAGAGAGGGGGCGGGGCCCTTGTCCTTTAGTGCAAGGGTCTTGGGGTTGTATGGAAGCTCGTTTTGTGCCATGCCCTGTGTAGCCTCTGCTAAAGCATAGTTGAGCAGCGGCTCCGCGCCACCGGGTCGCTGCTTGAACTCGAGGAAGTTGGCATACTCGAAGGCGGCCTCGATTTTCTGCCTGGTGCTGAAGCCCTTGGTAGCGAAAATCTTGAGGTAGTACCGGTCGGCGGGCGGGAATGCAGGCTCGCAGTCCTCCTCTCGAGGGGCCCTGGGGGCTCCGACTGGGATGGGCTTGGGCCTCGGATTGGACGGCCCAATGACATATTCAGGAGCGGAGGCAAAGTTGCGCTTGACGTCCCGGACCCAGCCGTCTAGATACTCGGCGGCTTTGGCCGTGAGCATCATGGTCTCGTAGTAACCCCGCCGCCACTCCTCGCTCATCCCGGAGATGTCATGGGCGATGAACTCCCAGGGAACCTCAGCGCCGGGTTCCTCTTGTTCGGAGAGTCTGGGGATCTTGTGGCCGTCTCGCTTCACGTCCTCAAAACCCAAACAGACATTTCTCGCGAGCTCGAATGTCTTGACCCAGTTGACCGCCGGCCTGTGGTTTGGATCTGTCCATTTGTGTGCATCCCTCAATTGCTTCCTGAGCCTCCAGGGCCACTCGGGGGGGGTAGGATAGTCGCGCTCGACCTTCTCCTCGAGGATGAAATAGTATATCGTAAAGAAGGCAAGGGAGCCAACCACGCAGATGGCCGCATAGCGGACGAAAAGCTTAGCCTCGTGTATGAGCCATTGTCTGCGTCGTCCGGATACGTACGTACGGCGGCAAGCATCGCGATTGGCCGTGGGTGTTGTGAGGAAGGCAAGAGTCGGTCGGGATGGCGAGTTTGTCGTGGCCCATTGCCGTTGGGCTAATCGTCGATGGAACCGAAAAGCTGTGCCCCTCTGTTCAATAGCGAGCCTCGGATTGCTCAGCCAAGAGCGGCAAACCAGGATGCGCGGTCGCATATTGGCCCAGCGAGGTTGAGGGCTCAATCGAGGTGCTGCCATTCGGTGGTCGGGTAACGGGGATTTCCGCCTCTCTATGCCGGTTGTGCCATGTCCGCGCCCAATTTTGGACGTGAGGATGAAGCTGTGGAGGGATTGAATGACGCTTGATCGAATTGGCATCGGGTCGATCTCGACAAGGAACCACTGGACCCGGCCGGTGTCAAGGTACGTATTTTCCGCCAGTTGATCACGTGCTCATGCCGCATTTTGTGCTCACCAGATTCCAGTAGGTGGGTGGTTTCAAGTAAGGACCAGACAGTCGCAGATGAATTGCTGGCCATTGTCTGGATAGATTCCGTTTTTTCCAAGCATGAAATGAAGATGAATCCCCTCGTTGCAGAGACGCTGAAAAACCCGCGATTTCAATTGTTCGCGACTGCTGTATTCTCAGGTGCCACCGTCGCCTCACTCATCCTGGGCTACCAGTCCTTGGAACGGGGTCAGAGGATCTCACGATTGAAGAACTCGATACCACAAAGTGAGGGGGATGACGGCAAGGTTAGGAATCTACGCCAATTCGGCTTGTGAGGGCTTGGCAACTGATCTCTTCTTGTTAGGTGACCTACTCAGACCCTCCAGTGGACAAGGAGGACGCTCGCAACCAGGCACTGGCCAGGCGCGCGCAGGCAGGAGACTTTGACGAAGAGCTCATTCTGGAGCAGCTGGCCCGGAACAGAGTCTTCCTCAAGCCTGAAGGGTTGGAAAAACTGCGCGATTCGTTTGTGGTCGTTGTGGGTTGCGGTGGTGTCGGTTCTCATGCTACGGCGTCGCTCGCTAGGTCCGGCGCATCGAAGATCCGTCTGGTTGATTTTGACCAAGTCACACTGAGCTCACTGAACCGCCATGCGGTGGCAACGCTTGCGGATGTAGGCACACCCAAGGTTCGCTGTCTGGAGAGGCGATTGATTGCCATCGCCCCATGGGTTCAATTTGACCTACGCCAGGAGAAGTTTGACGACGATGTAGCTGAAAAACTACTGGGTCCTTGGGGGGAGACCGAGCGCAAGCCGGATTTCGTCATTGACGCAATCGACAACATTGACACCAAGGTTGCATTGCTCAAGTACTGCCACGACAACAAGCTCCCCGTGATTAGTTCAATGGGAGCTGGTTGCAAGTCAGATCCTACCCGCATCATTGTGGGCGATATATCAACTAGTACTGACGATGCGTTATCTCGTAGCACGCGGCGTCGTCTCAAACTAGTAGGAGTTCACACGGGAATCCCAGTAGTGTATTCCATGGAGAAGACTGGTGATGGCAAGGCTGAACTCCTCCCTCTACCCGAAGAAGAATTCCAAAAGGGCTCCGTGGGCGACCTTGGGCCAATGGCAAACTTCCGAGTTCGAATTCTCCCAGTACTCGGAACGATGCCTGCCGTATTTGGGCTGACAGTCGCCAATCACGTTATCCTCGCATTGACTGGTTATCCTTACGACTACGCGCCAGGCAAAGGCCGGGATAAATTATATGATGGAGTCTTCAACTACGTCCAGGGCGTGGAAGAGAAGCTACACAGGCTCTTCCACCCTAACCTCACGGGCCTCAAAATTCCGTTGACAACCAACGACGTCGCATTCCTCCTAGATGAGTTGTACCAAGGAAAGAGCGTCATCACGGGCATTTCTACAAAGATTGTGTTGATACGGTGGCGCAAGCCTAGCGAGGACAACTTGATCGTCATCGGTGAGGAGCCTCAAGTCCAGAGGAGCTCGCGACTGAAGCTGAGCGACTTGGTATGCATGACGAAGGAAGAAGCTGCAAGGCATGAAAAGAGGATTTTCAAGAAAGGGAAGAAGCTGGAGGACCTGTATGATGCTGAAACGATAGCAAGGGTCGACGCGAAGAGACTGAAGGCAGACCGGTATGAGGCCTATCGAGCTTCTCTGTGAGTTATGCTTGTCAGAGGCATTATCATTTAGAGACTGTACAATATGATTAATCAAAGCAATTCGACCCAATCGCCGACCAAATTGCCATCCTCCTTTTGTGAGACGCTCCCACATTCCCCCTTTTTCCATTCACCTGTGTCGCTTATCCCTTGCCACCCTTGTTCAGCTTGCACAGCTGTTACAGCTGCGGTAGCGGGCTATCAGATGACCCGAAGAGACGTTACTCAAGGCTGCTGAAAGTATTGATTGTACAGCTCGACTAAACGTGTTGGCTAACGCGTTTGCTTTGTTAGGCTGCCACAGTTTATTGGCTTGTGCTCGCAAGGCGGCTGTGGTGATCACACAAACGCAATCAATTGGTTAGCGTTGGTCTTTGATCAGCGCGGTGCGCCCGGTAATCCAAGCCACTCATTTTACGACAACGAGAAAGGCAACCGTGAGGCGAGTTGCCTGCTGCCTATGGGTACTAGCATTTTCGTATCAGGATGAGTATTGCGCCTCATTCAGCTCGGACGGGGGTCGTGTGGCGAATGGGCGCGCAAAACTAAAGAAGGAAAATACCCACCGTCGCTGCCTTTGAGCGAACCAAGTATGTTCCTGGTCAGCGCGAATGCCCGCCGTTCCAGAACTGTGAGTTGCCGGCCTTGCACAGCCTACCGGTTTCATGGGATGCATCGGGGAAGGGCAATTGAGGCCGCGCCGATGCGAACACCCGTCTCATTCGTTTCATGATTTTCGTCGCGTCTGTGGTGCCTGAGACGGAAGGGGTCCATCAAGGGTCCATCCAAAACTCTAAGAGTTTGGCATTGTAAGGCAGCTTCAGGAGGCAACAGGGATGAGGGAGGGCGTAGCACAGTTGACGTCGACTCCCGAGCATCGCTATATTACCATCGTCACACGAAAGAAAATACGAGGATGTTAGTTTTTCCTTCATCGGGCATCACAGCATAGCAGTGACTTGAAGTTTGCCACGGCTTTGGTGCTGTTTTTGGAGGTGCGGAGTAGATGTATGACGATGCGGACGCCCGGTAACAATCCTTGTGATATTCTCTGATGTCCGTAGTACAGTGAGCGACACAGAGCTAGCTTCAACCTGCAGGTGGTTCTTTGTTGAGAAAGGATGGTTTCACAGGCATCCGAGGGTAGATTTCGTGTCCTTGTCCTTAGATGACGCGCGGCAGCACCAGAGCACACAGATGAACCCAGGAACCGGGAACCATTATGGGACGGGAACACCAAGATAAAATCAATGCCGTACTTGCGGACCTGGTTGCACAAGGAATCTATGTTAGTCCACTTGAGCCCGATGAAAATATGGGCCAGATTAGGTGCCCAGGCCATGTCCAGAGATGGGACAATCGAGGATGTTTGGTGATTGGAAACTGCACGGTCTTAGTACCAATCTGCCGGCCATAACATTGAAAATGATTCTTCCAGAATCCCAGGCGCCAGTAATACTTTGGTAAATATAGCGAGGTCAAACCCCGTCATCCAGTCCGAGTAATAAGCCACTTGCGAGCTGACAAGATGGTGGATTTACCATCAGCTTACGGAGCCCTTGTGACCGAGGCAACGAGCGCGCATCGCACTACAAGAGCAAAACGATCGATGTTACCGAACGTATCCTCGTAGGTCTCGCCGATCCAAGGCAAATGTGTAAGGCGGTGTTGTCATACACACAATCCATAATTTGAAAGGCTGGGATACCAACCTCCGGCTCGCCTCGTATCTGGATATTGTTTTCACGGTCGCCAGTCGTCTACCAGGCCGCATACCAGGCCGCGGGTCTCCTTGGAGCGGACGTGAGGCTGAATCCTTCTCCGAGAGCACAATGGAGGAATGCATAGGTAGTCGCCAGTACTTCCTAAGAGATGAAGACGGTGCTTTGGGCAGAATCCGCCGACGTTATACGCGACCGGTTTCCCTAAGTAGCTTCCACTCCGGACGCTGAAGGGATTGGTAAATTAAGATGTGTGATGGGAGAGTGCCACAGACGAGAATACTTGCATAGAGTTTTCGCTCTTTACCGAGGGGGAAAAAGCAAACGTGCTAAGGAATGAGGCGGACATGATTGGAGGTGTGATTTCAGGCTGCATCTGCAGCCAGCCGATAAACCACTGCATGAAAACATCCCGGCCGTTGGCTGCCCAGGTCCATTGATGCCCAGCTCGTGGGGTTGGTATTTAGTGCTTGGGGACTTGACTGCGGCCTCTCTTAACTTGTGTCACCCAACAATATGAAGATGTACAACACATTAGGTGTCGATGAGGGTGTGAGACTTTGGTCATATGATGTGCAAGGCGAGACCATTCTACCTATCTGGTGAGCGTGGGTTGCTCGCTATAAGCAACAAAAGTGCACGTCTCATCAGTTTGGCAGGCAGGCCTTGGGGTCTGGCCAGAGATGGCTGGGAAGACTGGTCTGAGTGACTGAATTTGACAAGACGGGAGCTTGCTGCCATGTTTTGTTTCTGAGAAAATCCATGGCACTGTTCGCTGATGAGTCTTGAATGCTGGCTGCGCTGCTCTTTATTTTCCTCGGGCAGACCCTCATCTCACCACTTTGTATGCAGCAAGGAACATGGCTGAAATGAAGCACACCTCGGGCATAAAGAAGTGATGTAGTAGACAGGTCTGATTGGTAGTCTGCATAAAATGACTGGCTGACTCGCAGGGTGTGTGTTGTAGTGCATTCTGCCCTCGGTGGAAGTTGTTGAGGCATCCAAGGTAGGTGGGTAGGTTCTAGGAGATAGAAACAAAACTGCCATGTTAGTTCAATCTTCCTTGTGTCGGGTTAGACGAGCCTAACGTGAAGGCACGCGGGCAGGCGAACCACAGGTAAGGGTTTTAGAAAGGCAGGGAGTAAGGAATCGTCAAAGGGCTATTTTTTGATAATCTTAAGGCGAGTCGTACAAAGAGGAGTCGTCCGGCCGGCCTCCTCGATTGTAGGTACAGTGACTTGGTGGTTCGCGCACCACTATTGAGCAGACGAGAGATTGGGTTTATTAGGTATAGATGCCACGTCCTCCTTCCTTCGCTTTTCTCGATGTTATTATCATTTCTCTGACCTTGTAGAGCCCTGTCCATCGGGGCTTGCCGAATTCGTTCCTTTTCAATTCATTTTGCGGCCATTTTCGCCAGTCTTGCCCTCGCGCAGCCATCGCCATTAGGTACAACGTGCTGCTGCCCTAAACCCCCCCAAAGCAGCTGCCACGACTCACTGCAGCAACCAGACCACCCTAGACCTCAAGTCCCTGACATCACTGGTGGGTAGGAGGCAGGGACCTGGAATGTGGCAGGTGCATTCCCTCCAACTTCTTTCCAGTACGTATTCCATATGTTGGCCACCAATTTTCTCTTCTTCATACAACGACATCAAGCGCATCGTTTTGCGCCCTCACCCTGCACCCGAGGGCGTCACTGGCGGCTAACACGAGATGTCCCCTAGAGTGCCACTGGTAATCGCTCAATTTTGCCGCAATCCCGCCCCTTGAGTGCTGCAGCAGCTGCTTACTTACTGGCTTGATCGATACCAGCAACCCCTCTTCCTGCTGATGTGTGCTGCCTGACTCTGCTCTCCAACCTACGATGAGCAACCTCCAGGACAGTTGGGTCAAACACTTGCGGAAGTCAGAAGCTGCCGCGCGCAGAATTACCTGTCCAGAATGCAAGGCTGAGCTGGATAGCAATCTGGAGGACTTCAAGGCACACGTCCGCGACAATGTCTCCGAGCATGGTAATCTGACGGGCGACGCCGCCATTGCGGATGCTTTTAAACGGATCAACTTAAGATCGTGAGTCGGCTGCTGCCTGCCTGCCCTTTCGGTTTGCCACATGCCCCGCGCATCCCTTTTGATTCACGAACATTCTTTCCCCATGCTGTGTTTTATTCACGGACATCTCTGGCCCTTCCATTCCATCCATCTTACATGCATATGCAGAGAGAGTAAGCTTGCCGGGTTACTAATACGACAACATGTCCAGAACCAAGTCCGAACAACCCTCGAACAAACTATCAAAGAAGAGACCGTCCGGCCCAGCTGCACTCGAGAGTGTCGACCACAGAGACACGAGCATGAGCAACGAACGAGGGAACAAAAAGGTCTGCTCGCCGACTTCTTCTGACCACCAACACGCATCTCCCAACAGCAAGCATCCTGTCAATAGGAGCCGTGCACGCCCAAATGATTTCGATCGTTATGGTTCGGGAGCTCGACCTGCCGGCCGCCTCTTCAACCCAGAGCAGGATTCGACAGGTGCAGGTCGACAACCGAAAGGCATTTTCCACACTTCCAAAGCTTCCCAGCAGCAGCGGGAGCATCAACAGAAAAGGCAGTCCGAGACTCGCGGCCGGCAACAACCACCCCCTCCCCTCAAGGCTGAGGCTCAAGACAACGGCTCAACAAACCTCATCAATAGTCCGCACACGTCGATCACCCCCCAGCCAGAAACGAAGCCGATCTCTCATGAACAATTGGTGGCCGAAGTGAAGGGAATCTATGCCGGCTTGGTTATGATTGAAACGAAGTGTATCGAGGTCGATAATTCCCAGTCCACAAGCCCAGAGCAAAAGTTGACAAAGGATCAATGGCAAGCCCTTATCGCGCTCCATCGTACACTCCTCCACGAGCACCACGACTTTTTTCTGGCCAGCCAACATCCTGCAGCCAACGCTGCACTTCGACGCCTCGCATCAAAGTATGCTATGCCTGCACGTATGTGGAGACACGGCATTCACTCATTTCTGGAGCTGCTTCGTCGCAGACTCCCTGATTCGTATGAGTACATGCTTACCTTCATCTATCTGGCATATGCAATGATGGCGTTGCTCTACGAGACTGTTCCTAATTTCGAGGATACATGGGTTGAATGTCTAGGAGATCTTGCCAGATACCGTATGGCGATTGAGGATAATGATCTCAAGGATCGCGAGACCTGGACAGGAGTCGCTCGCCAGTGGTACAGCTTCGCTTCGGAGAAGGCACCATCAACTGGCCGACTCTACCACCATCTTGCGATCTTGGCCCGGCCGAATGCTATTCAACAACTGTACTTCTATACGAAGTCTCTCTGTGTTATCATTCCATTTCACAGTGCCAGGGAAAGTATAATGACTCTCTTCGATCCGGTTCTCACCGCTGGTGCAGCGGCTCGCCTCCCTGCCATTGATGCTGCCTTTGTTCGTGTGCATGGTATCTTTTTCTCCAAGAAGAATAAAGAACTCTTGGATTCGTCTATTGACGAATATTGTACGCTTTTGGATCCTTACATTGGCAAAGTGACGAAGAAATTTCTCGAAGTCGGGTAAGTATACTAGATAGAACAAGCACAGGAGAAATATCACTGACTTTGGACTAGCTATTACACCGGGATCCCCCTATGTTGTTCTCTCTTGGGCTACGGAGCGGAGGACAATTTTATCATGAAAGTGATCTCGCCACCCTCCGAAGAAGAGGATACTCCAAGCTCCGATGGCGCCGGCAGCAGTGTTAGCGCTGACGAGGCTGTTCCTGACGCGATGTTCCCCAAGGCACGCGATTTCGCAATGAATGTCTATAAAATAGTTGCTTTACGTTTCGGAGATCCGAACACATTGCCCTTTCTTCATACTTTCCTAGCCTTTATGTGGCATATGAGCAAATTCCCTATTGCCATAACTCATCTCGAGCGAGAGTTCCCATGGCATCTTACTGCAACAATGCTCAACCATACCTTCCAGTCCTGTGGCTTCGAGGCACGAATGGAGAGTGAGGAGTTTCCGGGTGCTCTTAAGAATGACACTCCTCGTCCTCTGCCAGAGGATTTTGCGATGAGGAGCTTGGTCTATACGGAGGACTACCTACCATCGCAGTGGTTTAAAGATAGCAAGGTGGAGGAAGACGAAAAACAATTCGAGTTGGCTTCAATGGTCGACCAGCGAAAAGAGAGACTTCTTTGGCTGGGACGTAGGATCGCATCTACTGGAAGGTGGCTAACATGGAACGACACTTCACGACGATTCGGGGTAGCAGACGAGTGGGCTGATCTAGAGGATGCTGCAAGTACTTTCTCGGCGTTTGGCGAACGTAATGAATACAGCTGACGGTTTCTCCCTTGTTTGGATTTAATAATTCTTGGCATCGCGAATCTATGATCGATTTCTGCTTCTTCCCATATGACTGAATCAATACCATATTTCAGGTTGGAGTGTCCATACGGCTCTTTAGATGAGATAGTTGAATATACTATCTACCGCCTGTTTCCTGGGCCTGAATTATTCTTGTTCACTAACGTTCATTCCGTGTTATGATATGCCCTTCCGAACCGTTTAAAGAGATTTTGTAGATCGTGGTTGGTTCTTCGCACTGGGGTAAATGATATACGGTTCTGCAAGGCACTCAACTTCCTTAGATTATGGCACAGCACGAAATCATCACGAAACTTGATATCCAGTTTCTTTTCTAACTAAACAGTTCGAATATTTATTGGCTAAGCGATACATGAGAAACCGGAACCTGTAGATCCTTACCCGTCGTCACGATGCCGATCCGACTACACCATCTGATCCGGGGAAATATCTAACCATCGGGCGTCTACCTGCGCATCCGAAATGAAATCTTGGACTGAATCATGGCCAGACATGGCTTTCCCTTTGTTTCGAGAAAATCGACTGACGAGTGGTATGATCTCATCTGGACAGGTGATTCTCCTCATCTGGTGATGGCCTCCCTGATCATTCGGCACCAGTATGGATGTAGCACGTGTTACGAAAGGCGGGGGCTGACCACATGGTTCAGCCTCAGTAATAAATAAGCACGTCCGAATTGAGAAATCGAATATTACATTTACACAGAAACAGAAAGAAAAAATGCGAAAAACGAAATCGGAATATTGACTGCAGAACACGGCGCTGGTTATTGGCCATCGGCTACCCTAGCATGCCCTAGACTTGCCTTTCCGCTGGACTCTCGCAATTGTGTCTCTCTACTTCCAAAGACTTGAAATCTCTTTATTTAGCCGGGTAGAACCGGCCGCAAGGCAGACATTTTTGGTTTGCCTTGCATTTTAATGTCTCATGCTTTCTCAGAGCGGCTGTTAGCTATGGACCCCCCACTCACACATCCTTCTACACCAGAGGATGGCTTTTGGTATGTAAAATACAAAGAGCTTAGAAATATGATTCAGAATTGAATATTAGTCCGCTTTTGAAAATCAGTGCAGCCTAAGCGCTGACACATGTCACACAGTCGCCAACACTCAACGCATATGATAGATGAAAGAAGTGAAAGGACCGCAAGTGTGATGGTGGCTAAGAAAAGAGCTCTGCCCTATCAAAAGCTGAGGGATAATCAATCATGAGATTTATAGTTTAGAATTCATTTCCCAAAGGCTGCTAAATCTCATGTAGGCCGAAACTTTATTCAGAAGGCACGCAACTCTATGACCGGTGAGCCTGCAAGTGACAGGACGTTTTATGAATGCATTCGCACTTGCATGTCTGCGGTGGGTCGATCATATGCAAGAACAAGCCACACCGTTTCAACTTGATACACACATAATAGACAGCTTCATAAGGTCGGTAAGCACTGACTTGAAAACAAGTTTGAATCATGAGTGCGGGCGCGGGCGTGTTGATCATTCCCATGCCCAGCAATCCTACACCCCCAGGTTATGGGCGATCATCTTTGTCGATCCTTCCCTGCCAGCCAACGATCCCATCTGCCTTGTAGATGAGATTTGTTTTTGTTGTGAATCCTTTATAGCGGTGTGTGCTTGGAGCTCCTCCCTTTACTAGGCAGCAGTTTGAGAGCTGTCACTCCCTTGTCAGCAATAGTCGCCTTCTAGCAGTTAGTGTTCTTCCGCCTTTCCAACCCCTGGTTCAGCGGCCGGCATCATCGCTATTAGGAAAAAGGGGACCCCATCAATGGATTTTTAGTAAGAAGAAGGCAATTTAACACAAGTTCATAAGCCAGCTTCGTGGTTCGGAGCGGCCGGCTGGCCAAGGCAATTGTTTAATTTGCTGTTAGTACCAATACTTGGGGCCGTATTGCTCTCTTACTAGACCAGACCGGCGTATGTCCAGCTCAGGTGGGGATTTCTTAGTATTCCATATTTTTCATCTCAGCCACCAAGGCATACGAGTTCCGGCAATGCAAGATTCAGCTCCTGTCTGCGTGGCAATGAGGCCCAGCCCTAGCTGTTTACGCTACCTATTACGCACTACCTATTTTATCATGAACAGTGCGTCGAACTCATTGGGGCTTAAAACGTCTGGTTCACTAACACGGCATTAGCCCCTCCAAGCCTTCAAAATATATAATTAGGGTGTCCGCCTCGCTGCGCTAAATACCCGCTAATGTAAGGGTGGGGGTGACATTGAAAGGTCGCCTTGCTGCCCCCTTGGACGCCTTACAACAAGCCTTATGATATAAATTTCGCTGTGCATATAGAGAGGGGTTGGTAGCATGCAGGAGGGAAGCCGTTTTACCGAAGCGTCGATTCCAGTGGCTTTCAGCCTTAATGACGAGGTTGGGTGGGATTCTTGGCGTGATGCATGTGCATTGCTGCACTTTACTGTAGCATCTCGTCCAACCAATATATATCCACACGCGCCTATTACGATATAGATGCTACAATTGTTGGTTCGAAAGTGCATGAGCAACGGACCATTCTGAGGCCATCCATGCACTGACACTTGGTGAGGAATGCATCCATAAGGCTGGCTGGCGCTTTACGCCGAAAGGGCGATCTCAGCTTCTGGAAATCGATATTAGCCTTGGCTATCGAAGAGCTGTCATCCCCTTCTGGGGGGGGGTGGATTTGCCCAGACATGCTGCGATGTGCTGTTGAGTCCACAAACTGTCCTCGTGAGAGCCCAGCTGAGGTGGAGTTGGGCCTCATCGCGTAATTAATCGTCATCTCTGTAGTTGGGGGAGTGATAGGTCCGAAAGCTAGGCGATCATGCTGCCTGATGAGACAGGTGAACGAAGCTAGCTGGCAAGAATTGTTACCCAACCGATATAGGAGTTTCTAGAAGCAGCTTCTAGAAGGACCTTCTAGAAGGACCTGGAGCTTCTAGAACTTCCTTCCTGGTGAGCCTATTGCCATGCCTTCGATGAAAGTGAAAATAACCGAAGTGGTAATAGAGCCCTTTAGATGTGATATGAATACAAGATATCAATGTGAATAGGAAATTTCGAAAGAAAATATAGTACTGTCTATACTCCTTGCTTGGAGTCTTGTGGCTGTTGTGCGGCCTCCAGTTAACCTAGAGGACGCGATATTGGGAGACCACCATGGCTAAACACAATATTTGCCAACCGAAGCGAATTAATACTAATTTAGTGGAGGAAAACAACTAGCTAGATGTGTGTTTTGGTCAGATTATATAACTAAAATAGCCCCAGCGTTGTTGTTTTCTCGCGTTCCTTATAAGTGTCGGGCGTAGAAGTGAGTTGTGACCTGAATCTCCTTGTTTGTTTCAATCCCTTTCTATGCCGCCTTTGATTAATATTTGAATCAATATAACAAGAAGTTTACTCATTGTATTACCGATAATATTCTAAATACACCTTAATCAACCCAACTAACACAATTACTCTACTCGAAGCTACAAGGATAAAGAGAAGCATCAGTGAATTTCTTTTGATTAGAAGAAACGGCGTGGTATTTAACGAAGAATTTGGAACCAGCCCCAATCTAATCATATTAGCATACTCACAGGGAACGTCAGCTGAAGAGAATATAGAATATTTATAGAGATATGAAGGTTATCGCCTTTTCGTCCAGAGGACGTTGAGAAAAATGGCCCGGTGGAATTGTCACAACTCGGTATGTATCTCAAAGCAAGATATGAATATAGAGTAAAGAGCAGAGACAATATTAGTGAATAGTTAGTGATAGGAATCCTCCCACTAGTCCGGCCTCTCCAAAAAACCCAGGTTCTTCTCAATCCCGTGAAGTCGATATGAGCCGTAAGAGAGCACAACCGTTGTGAGTCAACGCATTGCACCAGCTTATGACAACACTGAGATTGAGGCCCAACTAGGAAATTTCTATTAATAACCACGTCTAATTCACGCCATTTCTGATATATCCTTGCCGGAACAGCATCCATGCAAGAATCAACCAGTAAAAGACCATGCTGCGTATGTTGGCAGTGCGACCCCGAGCAACCAAAACAACTCGATGCTATATGTCACATATTCATTGGCTCGAACCGCATAATAGGAAGCCTAAAAATGGAGATTGTTGCCTGACCTGACGTTTTGTCGTCGCCTCGCCGGAAATCGCTGCGATGCCGGCAGTACGGAACAAGGCATCAAAATTCATGCCATTTAGTAGCTATCCGCATTAGTGAATTGAATTGATTCTTAGGACTTTTTATGGACATAAGCATAGGACAAAGCAAGGATAGGCGTTTCGGTCTATTCTCCGTCTCATAATTATAGGACCAAAAATCAAGGGGTGAGAAAGTCAAAGGAAAGCAAAACGTCTTGAAGAGGCTGTACTGTATATGGAACAAAAGAAACCCAAAGTGTTCGAGAGAAGCGAGAACTGAATTCTTAAGCCTTTGTCATATTCCAGCTTATCCATACTTTAAACATGACCTGTGGCATATCTGAGAATTGGCCGATAGACTTAACTAAGTGGTTGAATCAAACAAATGCAAACATCAATGTATTTGGTTCGATAATCTAGAACACTGGTATGATTTGTCATTGGATAGCTCTCGAGACTGTTACGGTACTAGTGTGCCTCCTTGTTGCAAAGGATCAAGTGGTTGACCCCGTGGCGCTCCACGGACACCTCCGTGGAGCTCACCAGATCCCTGGTACTAATCTACGCCGCAACGCCTAGTAGAAAGCTGTGCCATGGCACTTGGATCCGGACTCCGTATCTTAGAAATGTGTCTAAATAGTATCACAACAATCGCCACGGGGCACCGCGCTTCCAAGCAGGTGGAATCGAATCTTGGAGGTATTACAAATGAACATCTGAGGAAGAATTATGGCCCCGCCAATGGTCGAGGATAAATAGGAGAAGCAACTAGATGGAATTTCGGTTCTGAACCATAGAGTCAAAAAGGAAAATTTTGTTTATAAATTCATTCCTATTCTGCAAAGTAAAAACAAAGTCTTCACAATGGCGATCCCACGATACAGTTCTGGTGATGTGAGCCCTGCGCCTCTGGCACGCGACCTTGAGTTCCCTGTATCCGGACGGATCGCGAAGAATCGCTTCCTCAAAAGCCCGATGGCAGAATTTCTCGCTACTTGGAGTCCCAGGCATGTATATGAGCGAGGTATTCCTACAGATGAGATTATTGAACTGTACAGAAGGTTGGTGATACCCTCTTTTAGTGTGCACGTTGTTGATTGTCCGAACTAATGGTCATCCACCATTCGCAGATGGGGAGAAGGAAAGAATAACTGGGGTGTCATTGTTACGGGAAATATCGATACAAACTGGGCCATACTTAATGCCCCAGGCGACACGATCATCACCCCAGATTGTCTCTTCGAGGGTGAGCGGTTTGAAAAGTTCACAAAGCTTGCCGCAGCAGCCAAGGCCGATGGCAGTCTCATTGTCGGCCAGATCACTCATCCAGGGAGACAGATACTAGCATCAGTGAGCCCGACGACTGTCTCCGCATCTGACGTGCAGCTTGGTAGGTGACTGCTCAGTACTTCACACAAGCCTGTTTAACTGGTTCTAACTGTCAATCAACATAGAGCCAAAGGACGGCCAGACTTATGCGAAGCCCCACGCTGCCACGCGAGCCGAGATGAAGAAGATCGTAGATGAGTTTGCGTATGCGGCCGAGTACCTAGAAAAGGTTGGGTTCGACGGAATCGAGCTCCACGCGGCTCACGGATATCTCATCGCCCAGTTCCTCTCCCGGACCACCAACAAACGCACAGACGAGTACGGCGTCCAGACCACGGAGAATCGCATGCGGTTCTTTTCGGATGTTGTGCGCGGCATCAAGGCGAGGGTCTCGCCCAAGTTCATTGTGTCCGCCAAACTGAACAGTGTGGAGTTCCAAGAAGGCGGCGTCACGCCGGACGAGGCGCGTGAAGTGTGCGAGACTCTCGAGAAGCTTGGCCTCGACTTTGTAGAGCTCAGTGGCGGCACCTACGAGGATTTAGGTCTCAAGTTCGAGAGAGAATCGACCCAGATACGAGAGGGATTCTTTCTGAAATTCGCCCAGGCCATCTCGCAGGCTCTGGGCCCGGACCGCAAGATGAAGCTGTACTTGACTGGAGGCATGCGCTCAGTCGGCTCCATGGTCAGTGCGCTCGACTCCGTGGACGGCATTGGCCTCGCGCGACCTGCAGCTGCTGAGCCTCGACTTGCAAGCGACATCGTGGAAGGGCGTGCCAGTGGAGCGCTCAAGCCACTCACTGCGGGTGAGGAATTCCCCGTGAGTCTTATGGCTGCCGGGGCTCAAATCTGGCAGATTGCCAGGGGAAAGGAGCCTTTCCAGTTGTGGGATGAGAAGGTGCTTGCACACCTGGAGCAGGACATTAAGACATGGCTTGGGGAGAAGGCAGAGGATGGAGACAAGCTTGAGCATACGAAGCCCCCCATGTACACTGGGCCACAGAATGAGTACGGGTCCAGTGAGGCGGTAGTTGCATAGATTGAAGGGCCATTAGACTCGATATATATCTCATTTTCATAGATTTTATTTTATACAAATAGAAACAAGGGGCATTTCTGGTCGGTGCGCTTGTTCGCCTGAGCTGGTGGTCGAGGTCATTGGATGGTGGATTTGTCATCCATCATCAATCTGACCGACAGCCGGTGGACCAGACCCTGACCTCTCTTCCCTTCCTGATTCATCCCCTTCAAAGCTCCCATGTCGCATTAAAGACGGCTATACAGCTAGAAAGATCGCAAGGTAATTGCCGGAGCACACCTGTCCGCCATGTCCTCCGAGAACTCCACTTCACCTGGTGAACCGCAGCCGGCGGCGGGTGCCAGGAAGGGTATGTTATGTCCACACGGGAGTTGTCTCTCTCATCAAATTGCTCTCTGACGAATGGATTAAGCTTGCGACTTGTGTTTTCGAAAGAAAATCAAATGCGACATGTTGAAGCCAACATGCTCCAACTGCTCTCTTTACAGTGCCGAGTGTCGGACAAGCCTCATCCGCCAGAAGCCTGGGGGCCGTGCAAGGCGAAGAGTAGGAGTACAGGAAGCTCCCGAAGAGGCTTCTGAGGATTCCGAGGGCATCAAGGCTCGCCTAGAGCGTATAGAGAAGCTCCTGAAAGAGACTGCGGCACAGAAAGCGCCCAATCCCTCTGCCAATTCCGAATCTCCCCATTTTGAGGTGGACAGCCGTAGCATGGATTTCGGCACTGATGACCAGATACACAACTCTACTGCTCCAACATGGGGATTTGATGCTGTGAGGCCAACTCTATACTTCGGTCCAGGAGCAGCAGGAACCCCACTGCCACCACTCTACGTACGTGGTTTTGAGTCCAATCGACCTGATCCAAGGCGCAACTCCCACATACCTATCCCATTATCTAACAAAACAACAGGATATTATGCCACTTATCGATTTATACTTTGACAATTTCAATCAGGTATCGCCGATTTTTGATCGGAAGTCTTTTACTCGTATGGTCATCGAGTGGTATAACCAAAGAGCAACTCATAGCCGGGTTGCATGGGCCGCAATTCTTGCAGTCTGCTCTCTCGGCTTACGCGCTTCTCCTACTGATAATTCATTATTCAAGGGGCCATTCACCAACAAAGAATGCAGTGACTATTGTTTGAGAAATGCCCAGTCAGTTATCCCGGAATTGTTGATCAGGGAGGAGGATTTGCTGGGTGTCCAGACCTTACTCGTGCTGGCCACTCTGTTCCATCAGGCCTGTGATCAAAGAGCAGCAGGTAATCTGGCGAGCATGGCCCTCAGGCTTGCGCATAGGATGCGCCTTCACTCCAAGCAGTCCACGGAATTCTTCTCTCCCGAGGAAATACAGCAAAGATCAAACGTGTTCTGGGTCGCATACATTCTAGACAAGGTGAGTGATGCTAGTCTGCTTGGTATGAAATCTCGCTCACACTCGCTACCAGGATATCTCCATGAGGATGCAAATGCCATCTGGGCAAGTTGACCAGGACATTGATGTCTCCCTTCCGCCCATGAACCCGACTGGAACCGATAATGACATTGGTCTTATCTGGACGCGCGACCGTACCACTCCTTTCAATCTTTTCCGCATGCGTCTTGACCTCGCCCATATTCAGGGCAAACTCTATGATCTTATCTACTCCAATCGCTCTCTGAAGATCAATGCCATTGAACGTCAAGCTCGGGTTGAAAGTCTACAAAAGCTGCTGACAACTTGGATGGCCAGAATCCCGGCAGCATTTCAAATCGAGCACGTGGCCGCAACTGTAGGTGAAACAGAAGTTGCGCACATGGTCAAGTTTTACCACTCCTATCTCACCACCATCACGTTTCTCCATGGGATCTATAGCCAGCAGGCGGAGTGGGTGAAGCGCGTGGGCCCTCAGGCCAGATACGCCATCCAAGATTATACTCTGGCCATGTCTGGACATGCTGCCGATTGTCTCTCAGAATACCTAGACCCGCCGGCAGAGAAATACTGGTATCATTGTGTCGACATCAGCCGCTTTACCTTGAAGCTATTCCAGGAAGTGGCGCAAACAGACTGGCTGGTGTGGTAAGTTACAAATGGCCAATTGGAATTTCCCTAATGAAACGTCACTGACTTGAACTTCAAGGCAATGCACTTGTGCTCATTTTTCGGGGCTCGTCATTCTTCTATCAAACACCATCATGTACCCAACACATGAATTCGCTTCGCTTGATAGCGAGATATCAACAGTGTCGGTTCAGCTGCTAGACAAAATCGTGGCTGAATCTAGTCACGGAGACATATTCGCATCTCTCCAACACGTTGTGGCTGATCTATCCAAGCATGCGAAAGCCGCGGTATCATCTGCTCGGCTTCAACAAGATTCCGAACGTGTGTTTGGGCAGACCTTTCAAGAAGATGACTGGTTTCCCGGGCAATCTGCGCTCTCCACTTTTGGCAACGGGGACGAAGCAGATTTGACGGGCACCTTCAACTTGAATACTGACATAGACCCTTTCTTGCACGCCGAATGTGACCAAGGCAGTGCCCGGGTCAATCTTGAGACCATACTGTAACTGCCGGGCAGAATGCCGGGCCTGGCTTACTTTGCTCCGCCCCGAAAGATTCAGGGGTCTCAATTTCACATCCCAAGTAAATCACCCGAGCAGTATGACGGAGTAGTAATGCCCATCAATTCTCCCGTCACGGCATCTTTACCCCGCACACATATTCACTACTCCACAGGTTTACCCCTGGGACAAGTCGGAGCCTCTCTCTTTTAGGACGTGGCCCACCTCGTAAACCTGATCGCCTCGTTTCCGCACGACTCAAATTGAAGATTGACATATTGCCTAATGGCTAGGCCCGTGCCCGGGCTGCCATTGTCCCGAGGGAACCACTGGTCCTAAATAGGAAGCTCGTTAGTCGTCCGCGACCGCTCGTTGGGCAATATCAACTCGCCTACCCACGAGGGTGAGGACATTCCGCATGAATCTTGGCCAAATTTTCAACCAAGAACTACCCGTAATTGGGTCAAAGCCGAGAACATGTTGAAAGCTATTCTTTTTTCAATCCTCTTGGCCTCATACGGTCTGGCTGTGAAGATCGTTTCAACAAACCATTGGGATATCGGCACTGATATCCAAGGATCTGAACGTCTCAATGGCGTAAGCTATCAGGAGGACGTTCTCATCACATTTGGCGAGCATCAATATACTACATTCTACGAGACAGCCCCAGCAGGGTACGGTAATCATTATGTGAGGGTTGGTCGCCGCCGCGTACTCCCATCTGTTGGGGCATGGGAATTTTTGACCCTCACCGATTACCTCCAAACGACTCTCGACGGACATAATATGATCTCTATGGGCATTTCTGGCGACGGTCGAATTCATCTGAGCTTTGACCACCATGTATGTGTGCCAAACAGGAAGAAAAGGGGCTTCAATCTAACAGATATAAATTCAATAGGATGTCCCGCTAAATTATCGAGTTTCCAATGATCCTATTGCAATTAACATACCATCAACCTGGACCGCCAGCCTATTTGGCAGTGTAGTTCACCAGCTTCCCGGATCGTCCGGACCATGGACACCGCTCACCTATCCGCGGTTCCAGAATCTGGACAACGGTGATCTTCTATTAGAATTCAGAATCGGCCAGTGAGTTTCCTACTTGACATTTATCTTCCTAGATGTTTGAAGACGAATATAGTGAGGACATGTTGCTGAGCGCGTGCTGATTCTTGGAATGGTTTAAAGATCCGGATCTGGAGATAGCTACATTCACAGATATTCCAGCACCTCTCGCACTTGGCAGGCATACGGCAAATATCTCCAGGGCAATGACAACAATGCTTACATCAACGGCCTCGATGTACTCAACGGAAGGCTCTATACCTCCTGGACAGTACGAGAGACACCAGATGCAAACACAAACCATGATTTGTTCTTTGCATACTCAGACGACAGCGGCCAGAGTTGGCGCAACACAAAGGGCGCAACGCTACCTAAACCAATTCCTGTGGACCAAGATGTTGTCAAGGTTTGGAGCATTGCTCAAAATACTGGTATGGTAAACCAGGAAGGGCAGCTTATCGACTCCAAGGGAAGGTTCCACGCACTCATGAGGGGAAATTCTTCCGGGCAGCAGGTTTATGAGCATTATCTAAGAAGCACTGATGGTAAGCCAATTCCTTTCCATCCTTTTTGTTTTTTTTTTTCGAGAAATGCAATGGCTGACCGACTTCTGTTTCATCAGGAACCTGGGTGAGGAATCTCATCAACCCAGGTGATATATCTCCTCCAGATCTGTATGCACCTCGTGGTAAATTTGCGGCGGATGCCGATTCTCGTTATCTATTCGCTCTGCTGCCGGATTTGCCAGCCCTGCAACTCCGTATCTATGTGTCGACCAGTGATGGGCAGTTCAAAGACTGGAAGCTACTCACCGTTGTTTCCAACGCTTCATCTGAGCCGCTTTTTGATCAGAAGAGACTGAAGGATCAAGGAATTCTCAGTGTCTTTGTCAGACAAGGGGGTCCATTCCCCGATCGAAAGGTGCAGGTTTGGGATTTCCAACTGGAGTTGTAGAGCATGAGAACTATTCTGCTTGATTCCAAAATACTATCCCTTTTGGGTGCCTGTTCACTACATGCTTCTTAAAATACATTCACTTGACTCGAAAATTTGAGGGTTTCAGTCTGGAATATGAATCACATCCCTTGACCTGCTGTGACACATTGCGTTCATGAAGTGAAATACACCGGGTAGCTCAGCATTCAAGAGCCAGGATCCCTCGAATCCCTTATTGGTCAAAATAATACACCTTCAATTACCTATTTCAGAGATAGAAACGTAACATCGGTGCCAGGGGTGTGGTGATCGACGTCATTAACATGCAGTATAACCAACGTGACTATCCTTCTCCACAACAATATGAACCCGATAGCGGGGGAAGGAGTATTGAGAGTAATGAATTTCACTCATTTATGGATAGATAGAAGTATATTCGGGCCATTGTATCACCGTAGTTGTTGGCACATAAGGACAGGCCATTCCCCAGAACTTTTAGGAACTTTTACCGTGCAAGCACGCCTCAACAGTTTTCGTTTTCGAAACAGTTTTATTGGAACCCAGAACGTTCCAGCGCTCAAAAATATGGGCGTTCGAGTTTCTCTTTGTCTTTCGCTGCTGGCTATTCTTGGTAGAACAGCTGCAGCTGAAGTTGACATCCTTGACTATATTGACCCCCTGATCGGAACTTCAGATGGCGGTTCGTGATTTTGAGGTTTATACTTGACATAAAACAGTACTGACGATTTCTTATAGGCCATGTGTTTCCTGGTGCCAGTTTGCCATTCGGAATGGCTAAAGCTGTGGCCGACGTTGATAAAGAGACTCAAGGCGGCTTTGCGTCCAACGATGGGCTGAGTATGTTGATTTGCCTGATACAACAATTCCTCACTACCCCTCCAAATCTAACTAAGTATTCAAGTTACTGGCTTTTCCCATATGCATGATAGTGGGACCGGTGGCGTATGTCAACCATCTGACTGCATATGGTTGTTCATTCAACTGATCAGAGCGAATGTCTATAGGGCTCCTCCCTAGGGAATTTCCCTTTGTTCCCACAGACCCACTGCCCGAACGATGACTTGAATCAATGCGAGTTTCCTAAGAAGCTACGCGCTGTAGATCGAATTAATGGGACAGTGAAGGCTCGTCCGGGCTATTTCGCTGTCACTCTAAACACATCTATCGTCGCGGAAGTCACCGTTAGCAACCATACTGCCCTCTACAGATTCAATTTCCCCAGTAACCAAAGCGTTTCGAGTTCTGGCAACAACTCGTCGCCTTCTTCATACAGCCCCTTGATCCTAGCTGACCTGACCGATCTGGCAAACTCGAGGACTGATGGCAGTATTCAGGTGGATGCTGAAACGGGGCGTATCACAGGTAATGGGACTTTCACTCCGTCCTTCGGCATAGGAACCTATACTCTGCACTTTTGTGCCGACTTCAATGGAGCTGATATCCGTGACACTGGTGTTTTCATCAACAACCGGGCAGGCAATGGGACCAAGAGCCTCAAAGTCTACAAGGACGGAAACAATAATCCTCCGTTGCCAGCAGGCGCCTGGGTGCGCTTCAGGCAGCCCGAATCAAACCAAGTGCTGGCTCGAGTCGGTCTTTCATTCTTCAGCACGAGCCAGGCTTGTAGGAATGCTGAGAGAGAGATCCAGGATTTCGATTTTGAGGGCACCAAAGAGATCGCAGAGGATGCCTGGCGAGCCAAGCTAGCGCCAGTGTCAGTAGATGACACCGGGCTGGATCAATCGATTAAAAGGATCTTCTGGAGCGGTCTTTACCGCTCGTTCCTGTCCCCTCAAGACTATACTGGTGAGTTCGGAGACCCTCGAGGAAATTGAACCAAGTCTAACCACCCAGGACTTCAGGAGAGAACCCATTGTGGGAGAGTGACGAACCATACTTCGACTCGTATTATTGTATTTGGGATAGTTTCAGAAGCACACACCCGCTTCTGACCTTAGTTGATCCCCACGCACAAAGTCTTATGGTTCGCAGCCTGATCGATATCTATCGTCACGAAGGCAAACTCCCTGACTGTCGGATGTCACTCTGCCAAGGTTTTACCCAAGGCGGAAGTAATGCTGATAACCTCCTTGCTGATTCATACCTCAAGGGTCTCAGGGACGGGATCGATTGGGAGACAGGTTACGAAGCCGTGATATCGGATGCTGAGGGTGAGTGAGCACTCCATATAGGGTAAGGGGATCCGGAACTCTTCAACGAGCTAACATATCTTCCAGAGCAATCAGAGATATGGACTGTTCAAGGGCGTGGAGGGCTTGATAGCTGGAAGACTCTCGGGTACATCCCAACCGATGATTTCGATCCCCATGGTGTTGGCCTGTTCACACGTTCCATCTCTCGCACAATCGAGTACTCATACAACGACTTTTGTATTGCTGAAATGGCACGAGATATGAACAAGACAGGTGACGCCGAAAAGTATCTCGAAAGATCAGGAAACTGGGTCAATATGTTTGATCCTGATTCCCGATCTCTACTCAATCTAACAGGTAGTCCTGACCCAGTAGCTCTCGTCGACAGCGGCTTCCAGGGGTTTCTCCAACCAAGATATGCAAATGGGACATTCGGCTACCAAGACCCGTCTATTTGCACCTTCCTCTTCAATTTCACTTCATGCTATCTCAACGCGAATGGCCATGAGACTTATGAAGGCGGCGCGTGGCTCTACACGTTTTACGTCCCGCATAATCAAGCGGGCTTGATCCCTATGCTCGGGGGACCCGAGGAGTTCACTCGCCGACTACAGTATCTCCATGATACCCCGGGTCTCCTTTACGTTGGAAATGAGCAGTCCTATCTCCTCTTCTTCCTATTCCATTTCACAGGCCGGCCAGGGTTGTCCGCGGAAACGGCACACAAGTACATACCGAGCAGTTTCAACGACACCACTAGCGGCATCCCTGGAAACGATGACTCGGGAGCCATGGGGAGCTTCACCGCTCTGACGATGATGGGGCTGTACCCAATGAGTGGGCAGGATGTCTACCTCATCATTCCGCCTTTCTTCGCCGAGGTCAACCTCACGAATCCTCAGTCAGGCAAGACGGCTACTATACGCTCTATAGGGTTCGACGCATCATATGTCAACATATATATTCAGAGCGCTACGCTTAATGGCGAACCGTACACCAAATCCTGGATCACGCACAGTTTCTTTGTGGAGGGCGGTGTCCTGGAGCTGACAGTCGGGTCTCATGAGAGTTTGGCTTGGGGCGTGGGAGAGGATAATGTTCCTCCAAGCGCATCTACTCACTTTTGGGGGAAGGCTTGATTGAGTTATTCAAATTAAATTAAACTCTATAGTCTAGAGGAGTAGATGAGTCAATGATCGGGGTTCGTGTCTTTTTAGTACACAGTCTCGAAAGAGCTAAGAACGATGAATCATCGATACTGAGATGAACCTAGGCCAGAATATCTAATCAAGCCAGCATCTTTCTTAAGCTAAAAGTGAAACAAACAAGACAAGACCCATTGTTCTTTTCCTAGTCTGTGGCTCAGTAAAAGAGAAGAAATCCTACACACCAGTAGCAGGATTTAGACAAATCAATCCCAAGTTGCTGAGAACAACAGTGTGCTTACTATAATCAGAGAGTTCGAGTGAAGAAAAAGTAGCATAAATTACCGGTCTCATATCAAATTCCACAATCTCACCATTTTCCAGTGCATATTATTAAAGTTCTACTTCCACTGGTCATTCAAGTGTGGTGGGTGCGTAACCAAGAGGAAGTTCGACCGATCTTCCCCAAGTTGCATAAAACTACGCGCATCGGTTTAGATCCCAGACGACGTGCGTAGAGTCAAACGAGAACCTACTGTGGGGGGGATGATTTGAACAAATCTGTTTCATGATACCTCGATACCTTTATTGGGTGTGCCCTCGCCAGATGATATTTCTAAGGTATGGCTTTGACGGCCAGGAGAATTCAAAGTCGGCAACACTCCTAACAGTAATAGTTTCTGCTTGCTCCGCGAGGCATCGTACTCAAATTTCAATCCGTAAATGTCTACATACTCCGCGCTCTCATCGAGGTGCGACCTATCATCGCTCCATATAGTAATGCTGTTCAAGTGTGACAAGAGTTTGCCCTCAACGCCTCCAAAGAGACAGTAAGAGAAAGGTAACCAGGCCATTGAGCCATCAAGTCCACAAGGTGCGTAGTTGATAAGGGTCTGAGATTTGGCGGTAACACTTCGGGGTACTAGAGGTGTCAAAATCCAACGACGCGTCAAGAGGGCCACATCATAGAACCGGCGACGCTCCCAGACATATGAGAGACCCATTTCATGCCATGGCTCTCGAATCGCGTGTACTAATACCCGTCGGTGAAAGGAATTGACCCAACTGGCGCCTTTTCTGAGGTTGGTGGTCCTGGAATGTTTGTCCATAAAGAAGCAGACCTGACATTTTCATTGAATGTCTCCTCCTTGGTACAAGCACATATGAAGAGGAATCTCAGCAAACAGTAAGTTTGTTCAAACCATCGCTCTGCCCAATTAATCTCTCCAGAATTCTCAGACTCCACAAGTGCTGCCAATCGCGCCAATAATAGTCTATATTGATGAATTGTTTCCCTTCTCAGACACGATCCAAAACCAAGGCCATGATCTTGCCGTTTCTGCCCTTGAATTTCTCCGGCAGCGACCCAGGCGGAAGCAGATCAGCGTCGCCATTCGCTCGCAAAGCCTCCTCCAAAGTACACTTCCCAGCGTCCACAAACCCCATGGATCGATACAGGCCCAGCGTGACATGGTTGTCGGGCTTGACCATGATGCGGACGCGTACCTGCTTGGGCACACCGTGGCCGTGGTACTCTCTGCGGGACGACGCGAGAAACTGGAACGCCTCCTTGCAGAGCCTCTTCCCGAGTCCCTTCCCGCGATGCTGGGGTAGTGTGTACAGGCTCAGCATCTGCCACTTCTCCTCGTCTCTGTCGCTGGCCACCTCGGGCTGGGACGCCTCGCTGGGGAGGGCATAGTCATCTGCCGAGACTGGGCCCAGGAGCGTGACCTGTGCGACCCATTCACACGTCTCCAGGGCCACGGTGCTGGGGTCAATTGATCCAGAGGACTCCCCGTCGACTGCCGCGCAGATAAAGGTCTCCTTATTTGGCGTATTGATGCGGGATAACCAGACTTGGTCGGAGAACTGGGCCTCGGTCTCGTAGGTGGAAGAGAAGGAGGCGGGTGAATTCTGGAGCGCCGCTAGACGAAGCTCCTTGTACTTTGCCGCCAATGAGGGGAGGCTGGACGCATCTTTATCGATTCTGAAGAATGTGTATGCCATTCTGGAAGTCGTTTACTGGGTTTTTGGCGAAATGGAGGTGCTCTAGTCTCACGGTCGCGGCCAAAACGTCGGTGGGACTGCGACAAATTTTGTCCTCCCAGTTCTGCAGAATGAAGTAGCCAGCCGAACCAATGCACATCAGCTCATGATTGATGATATCTTATAAATATTGGCGTCGGACTATTTATATAATGCTCCGCCAGTCGCTAACCCCTGATGACAAACGCCCGCCATTATCTAGTGCATCTCGTATCGTAGATGCAGGTGGATTTTGGATTGGTGAGCTAGACATGTTCGCGTATGGACTCAATGGAAAGACTGGACAAGACAAATCTGCACATAAGATAAGAAATCCGACATGGCGGTCGACTCATCCAATCAAGTACCAACGCTCACATGTCGAGCACCTACATCTATGAGGACAGTTTGTCGTCCAAGACTCGGAAAGAGCCTGAAGACAGCTCACGCAGGCGGCAATTGCATTTCATATATAGGTAGCTAGAAAATAAATAAACATCAAACATCATAATCACGAGACAAAGAGAAATCACTTCAAAAAACGGATGTCAAAGGCATAACATTCATACGAAATCAAGACAAGCAGGCACACACATAGACAGGCACTCATTCTTGTTCCCCTCACTTCAAATATTTCTAGCCTCAATTGAGCTATCCAAGTCAAGATTTCGCAGAATGCATCTTGGAAGTCTTTAGCAACAGCGCATCGTCCCCGCACCGTCTTAGGGTTACGACATCAATCACAACCTATGATCAGTCATGGCGATCAAGTGCATTGAAGAGGCGATAACGAAAGTGGATCGATGGGTCGTATTGGGGTCGAGTCGTGCTAACGAAGTCATTTGAACCAGTGCAGTGACTTGTCCGTTTTGTGTATAGCCAGATAGTTGGTGGTTTGCGCTGGTTAATGTGTTTGATTCGGATCCCGGATCCGACTGTTTTCATTCATGGAGCGTCCTCGCTAGAAGATGCTCATCTAAGGAATCTCTGAGCTGCGACATTAGCAGATCATGACTTTCCAATGGTCCTGCAGCCAGTCTCCTCGCATGGATCTCGCTTAAACGGTTCGGTTCCTCATAATCTTCAGGATTAGGGGCATTGTTTCCGATATAGCGATCTTTCAGACTCGAAATTGACTGTATCCGCCGGGGTAGGGTGTATCTGGCACCTTCTAAGGCAGTGGCGATAATGAATAGGAGTAGCTCATAGGCTTGAGGGAGTATTCTCTGCCATTCAGTGATGCGCTCAGCTCATTTCATCCCATTCGATGATGAATCAATCAATCCAAGATAGAATTGGCAGAAAACAGTCTGTGCCACGATTGCGCATCACTGTTGTTAGCGATGCCGTCTCAAAATGGCGAGAGGCTGGTATTGAAAATACCAGTTTTCCCGTTTACCTTTTCAAAGCGGCAGAGGAGGCGTCCATAGAGGCAGCTTAGCCAATCTCGCGTAACATGATTGTTACACAGAGTTTTTGGCCCTCAGCAGCTGTGCACCTGGTGGCCCGAGTATGGAGAGGCTGCTTGGCCCGCGTGCATTTATTGCCTGCAGGAGAGCGGCGGTGCCCTCTGAAACGATTTCCGCGAGCGTTGAGCTTCCCAAATTGACTTAAGAAGCCGATAGAAATGAGCGCATGCTCTCGTAGGCTTGTCCGCGTCAATCAGACAATCAAGAAATTCATCTTTGGGTCTTTCAAGACCTGAATCCAGTTCTTCCCTTGATGCTCTGATTTCTCCAGTCCCCATATGATGGAAAGGGTCTCCATGCAGGTATTCATGAATCCCCAAGGGGTAGTGACCAACAGTTTTTGAAACCTGTCAATGATCCAAGCCCGACGCTGGGGATCCTTTGCCCCTGCGCCCGCGACAAATGTTGGCCAAGATGTAGCCTTGAAATTTGGGTCTTCGGGCGGTATCCTTTCCAGGTAATAGAACATCTCCAGATACACAGCATCGACGATGTCTTCGCTCAAGCTGCTGGCGATGGGCTCAATGGCCTGCATGATATACACCGAGGCGGCAAGGCGGTGCACTGTAGCTACATTGATCCGACTCTCCAGCACCTTTTCCAGATAATAATTGTTTTTGAGCACTTCAACGGCCCATGCCCGAACATTGAAGTTCTGAGCGCGGTGAAGCAGCGTAAAGCCTTCTGATGCGATCTTTGCAGCGGTCTCGGCATCTTCGGTCACGACATTGGATAATTGAGAGGCAGCGTAAAGAATCTCCAAGACCTCAGGCGGGCAGCACAGATAGCTACTTGCCGTCGTCTTCTCCAAGATGGTCGGTATATTAGCTGAGTCGAAATATGTCTGCAGTGAAGATACCTCAGGGGTGAATGCGGACGACAGCACGAAGTAACTTGGAAATACACTGGTTAGCACTGCTGTTAGACCGGCGAGGGTGGAGAGAAAATCACCAAAAGCAATCAGATAGCAACGAATCTCGTAGTTCACGCAATGGAGGGTCAATTGTTTGCATGATAGACATCAGTCGGCCGGCACCCTCCAAATGGGCCCTCCACCCGTTCTTCCCAGATTCCAGCAATTCGACATAAATGAAAAACAAAGCAGCGGCAAAGATGATATCGACAGGAACGGAGCCAACATTGGCGACAGCTTCGTGCATCAGCCGTAGCGCTTTGAGTTTAGCGACAAGTGCTTCTTGGAGGGCCTGCTGCGAGGCCTCGCCACGCTGGTAGATGACTTTTCCATCAGACTGGACAAATGGTGGTTGAGCCGAGCGCACAAGATTCGACTTATGCGCCGCGGAGGAAGCGACGATGATGTGCTGCAGCAGGGGATGTTGCCTGGTCATTGGCACAAGCTTGTGAAAGGGGTTGCAATTATCTGGCAAATCATGAGAGACAAGATCGCGGCACAGGCGTGTAGTAACTATATGAAGCCGTAGTCAGTAGGTTGGAGAAGGCCCGCTGGAAGGTCTGCAGCATACAATATGAAATGTAGTA